CTTAGTAAGATGGCTTCCAAAAAGGTATAAAAAGGAGCCCATTTTTTCAAGTGTGAATCTAGACTTCTCACTTTAAAACCCTGTTCTCAAATCAAGTGAGATTACCTAAGAAATAAAGTGCAGGCAAAACTAGTGCCATCTTTTACTGATGATCAACTCAAGGATTCACACTTTGTCTACAAGAACCCCAAGAGCGAAGACAATCCTGGAGCATTTTAATCAGAGTTTTTGTTGTGCACCTTTACTATGCATTTATGTAAATGCAATTGCAGGACATGAGAAGGTTGACACCCTGGACTGTGGAATGATTGGTTTTGAGACTGCACTTGCATTGATGGCTGCAGCCATGAGTCAGGTTTTTTGTTCTGATCCACTTTTGACTTCATTTTCAGGTCAAGCATGCACTTTCCTTGGTGTCTAACAATTATTTGGTTACATGTGACCCCTCTGACTCCAACAAGAAAAACCACAAGATCAAACTCATATTCAATGAGTTGACAAACAGGACAAGTCATACTGGAACTGCTTTCTCTGCTGCTAACTGGGAGATGGACGTGAAGGCCTACATGGAAACAATGTTGGAGCTGCCAGAGTTGCAAGTCAAGGAGATCAGTATTTGAGCAACACCTTTTATGAAGTGTGTATGTTGCAGCAGCACATCAACTGAGTTTTTTGTGTCAGGTGTTAGTGCTCCACCTTCCATCAACCCATACTCTCACATTCAAATTTGTATTTTTCTTTTTTTCTTTCTGTGCAGCTGTATCACTGATCTGTTACTTGCAGGATTTATCATTAATTTGTCATTTTGTATCCCCCTTGATATCTACCATCCACACTCTACTGCAAGTCTGTTATCTTTGCACTGGCAGCAGCTTCAACTGTGCAGTACTACACCCTCCCTTGAACATTTTTATGCATTTTTCTGCCTGCTTATTTTTGCATCGGCAGTAGCTTTAACTGCACAGCACTATACCCTCCCTTGAACATTTTAACATATTTTTCTGCCTGCTTAGCTTCACACCAGCAGTGTCTTCAACTGTGCAGTACTATACTCTCCCTCAAACATTTTTATGCACTTTTCTGCCCACTTAGCAGCACTTATTTAGCATTTTAGTCCCTCATTCCACACAGCTTAATTTTCTTAGACTCATCCCTTGAGCCACTTATTGATTTGTTTTACACCTGCTAATAGTGACTGTTGACTGCTTACTGCTTACCTGAACCTCCTTGAGGAATTGATCTCCTTGTTGTTAAGACCGTTGTAGAGACTCGCGTTTCTGCAGGCTCATATGGGCTCATATTACAAATTCTGATGACTGGCCTTCATGGCACGACTCGCACTATCATCCACTATGACTTCCCTATAGAGTGCACCACTTCCCACGAAATGCGCCATAGGCGCGACACTTTCCCGCACAACGCGCAGTATTCCCGTGTGCGCGCCTCATGCGCTTTCTCGCGCTTAAGCGCACTATGTCGCACAGCATCCAGGAGCATCCATCCATCGTCCAACCAGTCCCTTGGTATGTCCCTTTTCGTTATCTGACCATATTTAGCATATTACACTTCCCATTTCGTTATGCACCCTTACTTTACATCACCTTACCTCACTTACATACTTAGAGCGCTCCCTATTCGGCTCTGAGCCCTGGGAGAGCGCTTAGGTAGAACTTACATACACTCATGTTCGTTTTACACCCCACTAATTCCACCTTACCTTCCTACCACTCAGTATCTATCACCAGTTAGTTCCATGCAATGCATGTATCCATCATCATCTTGAGGCCCTAGCATCAGTCTATAGCTAGTGGCACTGTCAGTATCCGTCTAGATCCGCTGAGGCGATCTCAACCTGGCTGGGCTGATATGAAATATCTAAAAATGCTCAACCAGTATAAGTGAGTCTTGGCTCTGCCTAGCTGCTATACTCGCAGAATGCAAGAACGTTCGACCCTAAAGGGGACTGCTACTGAACACAGAACCAGATGAAAGAAAGACCCTTGAAGTGCGATGGATGCGCGAAAGCGCAAGAAGAAAAGCGAAGTGAGCGCGAAGCGCGAGAGAGCGCACTAAGGTAAGCGCGAGCGTGGGAACGTGAGCGCTAAGGCGCGTGTTGTGCGGAGAATACCAGATAAGGAAACGGACAAGGAAGCGGATGTGCAAAGCGAGTGCAAACGCAGAGCGAGTGTTATAACAAGCGCGGATAAAGGTCTAGTATAGGCGGATAACGATAACCATTGGAAACACAAAGTGCGCCCAAGTGGTGACTACTACTTTAAAGTAAAACCCAATAGCGAGGGAAGTACAGCAAAGGGGAGTAATAATGATGGTGTAGTAAGTCAGCAACTTTATACTATGGAAATCGCATCGGAAGCGGAAGGGATAGGAGCAATAAGCGCTATGAATACGTAATGACATGTAATAGCGCTGCAATGCTTGTTACAAACCACGAGGCAAGGCATATGACGTACCAATGAGGTGGATGGACATAGAGGGACGTTCCTGGATGATAGGCAATGCAGGGCAATGCAGGGCGCTTAAGTGCAATAAAGCGCGCAAGGTGCGCGTGTGGGAATGCTGCGCGTTGTGCGGGAAAGTACCGCGCCTATGGCGCGTTTCGCGGGAAAGCTGCGCGTTATGTGTAAAATGACTAGGGACATGATAGAAGTCGAATATAGCTGATGGTGCAAGTCGTGCATTGCAGGCCAATTGTCATGAGTTGTGAAAAGGTGCGAAATGTGCCCATATGTGCCTGCAGAAACGCGAGTCTCTACACTGCGCTTTTCCTCTTATCAGTCTCAGTATCCGTCTTCTACACTTGTGCACCACTTGCACTACCTTCCCGCGCTTCGCGCACTTTCGCACTTCGCTTTCCCGCGCGCGCTTTCTCGCGCTTTCACCGCCATTCACCAGGGTTGTTCAGCATCATTCCGTGGATCCTTGCTTTCCTTGCTTCCCCTTTAGGGTCGAACGTTCTTGCATTCTGCGAGTATAGCAGCTAGGCAGAGCCAAGACTCACTTATACTGGCTGAGCACTTTTCTTATATGTGCCTGCCAGGTTGTGATACCCACACCGTACTCAAGTAGTATCAGATACGAAGGGCTTTGGCCTCAGCTTGTGCGCTGTGCCCCTTTCCCGAGTCTTGCCCCTTATTTCAGAGTGCTAGGGTATTGCGTCTAGTGAGACGGATAAGTATCGTAATGGATCTGTTAAGGCTTCCGGATATCGAACGTATAGAGTAATGGCTAATCCAGATCGGATCCGAACTAGAAACTAACGGGTGAATACTGTCCGAAGACAGAGGCGGATATATAGACTATAGGAATCAATCCTAAGTCTCAGAGTAGACAAGAGTATCGTACTCAAGTCCAGATGGATAACGGAGGGACTTAGAGTCCAGATGGAATGAGTGCAATCTAAGATGATATTCGAACTGCTCTACTACAGCGCATGTACAAGGGTTTATATACTACGGATAACTAACGGAATGATCAATAAGCAAAGGTGCGAGGCTATGTACGAAGTATAAGCAAAGTATGTGTACAGCATATCGGTAAGTTGGATGGATAACGAATCATAACCGGGAATGAAGTATAAGCTAAAGCAGATCAGTAAGTGTAGCAGATCAGTAAGCATAACAGAAGTGAAGGATAACCGGTATACCGGTGTACAGGAATGCCAAAAGGAGATGAACGATAGTTAGAGTTATATGAACAGGACATGAAATAAGGATCAGATCGGATCTGTGGACTGGACGACGGATATGTCCATCGGATCTGGATCGGATCTGAGATCTGGATCTTCGGATCTGTACCTGGGAATATGGTATATGACACTTGTCCTAAGCACAAGGACCTACTTATTTCTCCTTATTTAAAGTAACAAAGTTTTGACTTGATTCTCCTTATTTGATGTGATAAGTCAAAAGTCATGTTTAAGACAAAATAAGAGACTCGACATTATCTTGATGCAGCTTCTATAAGGTACACCATCAATCAGGTCAGGAATCATGTCAGGAGGCTAAATTCTACTATTGGCCTCCCAACACAATTCCTGAGTGGCTGGAAGCATGGGAATGAGCAGCTGGCTAAATATTGGTGGGAATCAAAGTAGTTTTCTAAACTTGCTAAAATGCTTGATAAAGAACTGGCTAAATTAGTCTCTAGCACAGCCAAATGATGGAGTTGGCCAACATTGCAAATTGGAGCTTAAACTCCAATGCCTCTTGCTTGTCAATGTGTCTGCTGTTCTGCAAGGTTACAAGTGAATGCTCAAACTTGCCTAAAGGCAATGGAGCTGCCACAACTGTCCACATCCTCCAGAAGAGGGAAAGGTCAAGAATGTGGAGCTAATCTCCAGGCTCCTAGGACTACTGTAAAGATAATTGTCCACTGGATGAGACCCCAAGACCTTCATCACAGACACCCTAGTGCAACATCTTACCACTGACTCTGCGGACATCTGCATACTATTCTATGAGGGTAAAAAATCTGCCACTTCAAGTTCCAGCAATGAGGACCATTGAGGGAAACACAACAAGAAGAGAACTGTAAAGTACTCTTCAAATGTTGGGTCAAAATTGCTATGCCTAGCTGCTATTTGACCCTAAAGGGTTTCTGTACTAGACTCAGAGCTCAGAGAGTAGAAATATCATCAAAACAAAGACTGTGATTCAGACTGGTACTGACAGTGGTGAAAGGGAGACATGCTTATGTAAGCAGTAAAAATGTGAACATAAACTAAGGAAAGTGGTGGAGTGGTGTATCCATGACTGTGTGCCTGCGTGTCGTGAGCAAGGCAAGAAGTGGTGAAGAGCACTACTCTACGACAAAGCCCGAAGGACACTGAATGGCTCGCTAAACTACGGTGCTACTTGGCTGCCACTCAGCTCTTACCCCCGGGGTCCCCTACTCCATGTGCCCCTCTTGAGAAAACAGCGGCATCCTCATCACCCTCTAAATGCAGAAACTCGGTCTGACATGTGTGTCCAACTTAGTGTTCAAAGAGCACAGCTCAGATCTCGAAGACGTGGATCTTGTTCCCAATCCAGTGACACAATGTGAGTTTGTGCACCAGGTATTTCGAGCGCTGGACATGGTGGGGATGCAACAAAGTCAACAGTTGCTGATGCTGCAGTGAAATTTACAGAGGGTTTGATGAGCATGTTGTCTGATGCTGCAACTGCCAGTGCTACCTTGGGCAGTTCAAAGTCAGGCTGGGGCTGTGCTCGCTGTGGGAAGCTGTGACTGCATTGATCTGATGACCGACAGTGATGGCACTGAAGACTAGACCATGGGTTGGTGTTTGAGCTCCATAGAACAGAAAACTTATATGGTTGTTGTGATGGAAGTGTTGGTTGAGTGGGGAATGTGGACAGAACAGTTGAATCAACGTCATCTGCCCAGTTAAATGACTGAGCAGGGCTCGTGCCATTAGTAGGTGCTGGTCGTGGACTGACAGTGTATAGTGTCTCAGTTTGTGTACTGCATGTTATGTAAGTCTTCACTGCGACAGAGGTGGTCTGGAAGCTGTGGTCTCTGTAAAGATGGATGGGGGCAACCATAGTTCCAGCTTGTATGAGCGCAGCCTTCTGTTCCCTTGTGAGATCTTGTGTGGAGTGCTCAGAATAGACAGAGGAGGAGGTGTTGAGAGGTGTAGCAATTACTGCAGGTGTGGTATGCGGAAAGTTGCGGGACCATCTGGTCAAAAATGCAGATTTGAGCTTTTGCCAAGAAAGCTTCTCATTGTATGGTAAGTCAAAAAACCACTGTAATGCAGTGCCTGTGAGAGAGCGGCTAAAGCATATATGGCAGGAGGCTATTGCAATGCTGGCGGCATCAAGTGCGCAGCTAAAATCTTCCATCCATTCAGAAGCGTCCTGCATGCCAGTAAACTTGTGGCAGGAAGGTCTAGCAGGGACAGACATGATGCTATAAAAGTGCGGGAGCCAAAAAACAGTGGTGGTTGCGGTTGAAAGTGCGCGAGAGTATGCCAAAGTGCGTGAATGTACATGAAAGTGCTCGGTGTCGATGGGCTTCTCTACCCTGGACACTGAACTCTAGGAGTCCGTTGACTCTAATACGTGTTGCTCGTTACTCAATGAGACTCTCTCTAACTCTGGGTAATGTGGACTCTGGACTCTGGACTCAAAGGGGGAAGGACCAAAGCAAGCTTGGTTGAGGCAAACTCGCTCTGTTCACCAGTTGGAACGGTGTATCCACAACTGTGTGCCTGTGTGTCGTGAGCAAGGCAAGAAGTGGTGAAGAGCATTACTCTATGACAAAGCCTGAAGGACACTGAATGGCTCGCTAAACTATGGTGCTACTCGGCTGCCACTTGGCTCCTACCCCCGGGGTCCCCTACTCCAGTGGGGATAAGTGAAGGTATGTAAAAAAGGTCAATCTAAGCTCAGGGAAAACTAAACTGTCACACCGTCCTTCTGGAAAGGACAAGGGGGAAGTTTATCAATTCATGGTGATACTCATCTTTGCAACTGACAAAGAATATCCAGCCACATATGCTGAGGATCTGAAAAAAATTGATGTAGCAGTGGGCAATTGTGTCACTTTGTAAGTGATTTCTATCACTCACATTTGTAGCTACTAATTCAATTTTTCAAAGTCTTAAGAAATCATTCAAGGAGCAGCTCAAAAAATTCAATAGGACCATTGCTGGTGTCACCCCACTCGATGAAAATGGGGCTATCAATCTACACAGTGAGTGTTTTTTTTTACCATTCTCTTTTATTTTATTTGACTTATTCTATTTCCAGAACAAGTGCTTTCCATGGTATGACTGACTCCACCCCATACTATTTTCCAACCCAACATGTGGTGCCAAAGATTACACCTCCCAACTGGGAGTTGACCACACAGCAGAATTCTACACAGTGTCTTGCTACTTAAGGGTCTTAAATAGAACTTGTGTATAGTGACAATACAACTATACAGGGATAAGACTACTTGCCAGTCCTTAAGTACACAGTGTAGAGACTTGAGTCTCTGCAGGTGCATATGGCCCATATTACGACTTTTGACAATTGGCCTTTATTGCATGACTCACACCATCATCCGTATGTGACTTCTATCATGTCTTCAGTCATTCTGCATATAATGCGCAGCTTTCCTGCAAAATGCGCCATAGGTGCAACACTTTTGCACACTTTTGCATTTCACATTCCCACACATGTGTGCTTAGCGCATTTGTCGCGCTCCCTGTGCGCTTTCTCGCACTTAAGTGCTTTACATTGCGCATCATCTAGGAGCATCCATCCATTGTCCAATCAGTTCCTAGGTGCGTCCCTTTTCATTATCAGACCATATTGAGCATATTACACTTTGTATTTCATTATGGACCCTTACCTTACATCACTTACATCACTTACATCACTTACATACTTAGAGCGCTCCCTATTTGGCTCCGAGCCCTGGGAAAGCACTTAAGTAGAACTTACATACTTTCATGTTCATTTTACACCTACCTTTTACCAACCAGCTACCACCCATCTTTCTACCACCATGTTACTTGGCAGTTAGTTCCATGCAATGCATGCATCTGTCATCATCTTAAGGCCCTAGCATCAGTCTATAGCTAGTGGCACTATCAGTATCTGTCTATATCTGCACTTTTCATCATATCATCGTCTCAGTTCACGTCTTTTACACTTGTGCACCGCTTGCACTACCTTCCCACACTTCGCACTCTTTTGCACATCGCTTCCCCACACACACCTTCAGTGTGTTTCTCGCACTTTCACCGCCATTCATCAGGGTTGATCAGCATCATTCTGTAGATCCTTGCTTTCCTTGCTTCCCCTTTAGGGTTGAACGCTCTTGTATCCTGCAAGTATAGCAGCTAGGCAGAGCCGAGACTCACTTATACTGGTAGAGCATTTTATTTCATCTGTGCCTGCCAGGTTGTGATACCCACAATGGTCTACGACTTTTCTAATTTTTGTGGTAGATAACATGTGAGTTCTTGGGAGGATTTACTGACATGTCCTCTTCTTGCCTTTCTCATGATTTCAGTGATACAAAGTTTCTCAGTGTACTCTTAGGTATGTTTTACCCTAGTAGGTTGTGTTTCAACCTATGAAAGTCTGTCTCAACTTTGCCTTGTTCTTGTGTCTCTCTTCTCATTTAAGAGAGAACTATCTTAAATACATAAAGCAAAGTATGAAAGCTGTCTCAGTGTTATATAGTCAACCTCTCTTTTAGGTAGTATATAACTAGTAGTAGAAGTGTCATAGATCTTACTTCAAGGTAACCTATTTGGCCTGCACTTTCTGAATCTTACTAGATCTCACATGGTTTGAGAGAAGAATAAAAGTGGAAAGTTATCATTACTTGGTGCAAGATGGGCTCCTTTTATACATGTACCTTTTTGGAGGCCCTCTTACTAAGTATGACTCATCACAACATTCATAAGTCACTGGCTTACTAACCATGACATTTGGCAGTGCTAAATCAGCTGCTTATCAATCCAATATACATAAATGGTAAATGATATTACAAAGCATGACAAAGCACAACAAATCCTTACAAATCAGCATATTGCCCATCACATGACATGCTTACAAACACATCTGGTGGCTCACTGAAGGATTCTGTGGCTGAAAGAAATGGAAACAAACAGAAATAAATGGAAACTGCGTAACAAATTCATGAAGAATCCTTGAAAATCAGAATATTGCCAATCACATAACACACTTAGTAACATATTAGTGGCTCACTGAGTAAAATTGGTGGCTGAATAAGCCTTGAAAAAAGAAAGGGAAAGAAACTGATGGAAACTAACATACTGGAAATATAAGTACAAGTAAATCTGTCACAAGCCTATAATACAATGAAGTATACATTAGTCAACTCTCCTGTGATTATTTCCTGTCTACATATGTCATGGTATGATTTCCATACCATGCATGACAGCACTCGTTGTCCTGCATGATTTGGGAATCATGCATGGACATGACTACTAGGTATCCCCCTAAAAGACAAAGTCTGTTAGCTTAGTCCTCAGACTAGTCAACCCATACCTTGGTATCAAACCTTGGTCCAATAGTTTCAGTTTTCCCTCAGTGATTCATGAATCCACCATGTTTTGAAGAAAAGTCATATGTGAGATGGGAATCACATAATGACCTAGTTGATATGAGAAGCAAAATGAAGGCTAAGGTATTGCCTTTCCTTTGGCTTATTCACTTTGGCTAGAGAAACCCATAGAGAAAAGTTCAAAGCCTAACAAAAACCTATCTAAAAAGCCCGCGTATTGTGTACTATTATTTGTTCCATTATTTCTGAGTTGTTTTCTCTAGTGTTTCTTTACTTTACTTTTCTATTAGGATGCTCTGACTAATCAGATGCTTCATAAAATTGTACCTACAGGGTATGATGTCATAATGATGTCATAGGACTTCACCTACACTCCTGCAGGTATTTTGGTTGAAAGATATGATATCATAGTGATGTCATAATGATGTCATGTTCCATGGAATTTGCTAGAACATTCCAATGACTCATAATGACTCATAGTGACTCATAGTGACTCAGAATGATGTCATTATCCCACCATGAATATTCTGGAATGTTCTTTTGCACCTGCTAGAACATTCTGCTCCAGTTTTTGGAATATTCTTCCCACATTCTGAAGTCATTACATCACCTTTTTACTTACATAATATTCCCACACAAAATGTATATAAGGAGAGCCCATTCTCCCCCAAAAAAATAGATCTCCCACTTGTTGCATTCAAGAATCTCCCTCTTGAGCAAATTGAACTCTCACCTAAGAAGCTTCAGTCTGAACAAATTGCTGCTTACAAAGCCCATTTCCTTTGTAAGAACTGTCCAGGCAAGTGCAGGGAAAGTGTTTCCCTTGAGATTACGTAAGTTTCTCGCGATAGAAACCCAGTTTTGTGAGACCAGTGTTCTCACCACGTAGTGTTTACTGACCAACACAAGCTTTGGTCAACGTTGTTATTTGTGAGACCAGCGTTCTCACCAGGTATTTGTATACTGACCAACACGAGCTTTGGTCATTGTTGCTATTTGTCATTGTTTTTTATTTATTTTTATTTGTCATTGTTGTTATTTGTGAGACCAGCGTTCTCACCAGGTATTTGTATATTGACCAACACGAGCTTTGGTCCACGTAGTCACATTTGAGACCAGCTTCTCAACAGTTAACCATATATTCAGGAAACCAGTTCAAGTGTCTAGACGGTATATCCTAGACAATCCCATAGTTTCAATCAGAGATAATAAAGCTCCGGCTAAGTTAATCTGACTGATTGGTTTAGCGAGCCTCCCAAGAACTCACACGTTATCTACCACGAAAGAAGAAAAGTCGTAGACCGTGTTAATCGAGGACTGGCAAGAAGTCTTATCCAGTGTAATTGTGGTGTCATTACATTCTTACACGTTTTCATATAAGACCCTCGGTTATTAAGACATCGTGAATTTATGTGGGGTGGCTGGTCCCTCATCTCACCAATACACTACTTGTTCTGAACTCCCTTCCCTGAATCCTTGTTTCATTTCCACAAGTGCTCAGCCCATTCCCCCAAGTGTTCAGCCCACTCACCAAAGCAAATATGCTGCTGGCGCTCAGCCTATTTCCCCCTTCTTTGCAGCACCCTCTCCTCCCTCTTTCACAGCACCCCCTTTTCCTCTCTTTCATAGCACCCTCCCTCCACTCCTTTGCAGTATCCTCCCCCTCTTTTTCCTCAGCCTGGTGTGGAGGGTGGTCTGATCAATGTTCCTGACAGTGATATGGAGGATGACTCTCATGTTGATGATAGCCCTTTCAGTGCCCCTCTAGGTAATGCATTGAATACCTTAGATAGGGACTTCAAGATATGTGGTGATGAGGAGAAGGATAGGCTGGAGGTCAACTCCTCCTGGCATTGTGCCATTAGCCTTAACAGTCCTCCCAAAGTGGTAGGCCATAAGTGGCAGTATGCAGCTTCTCTGTCTCCACCTTGTGTCAGCATCAATTCATTCATTCTCCTGTACAAGGCACAGATGCCTATACATCACAGCCACAAGGTGTTTGATTCTACTTTGCTTAGCAGCCATGTGTCATACAAACTTCCTTTGTCATTAGAATCTTGCACAGCTGCTCCTCTTCATCATTAACAACATCCTTGTCAGCCTATGTTTTCATCTGACTATTAGATTTCACCAACAGCATCACAAACATCTCTTTCCATGAAGCCACAGAGCTTCATGAGCTTGCAAAATAAGAGGACTTTGGTGGCAGATATGGAGGGTCAGATCAGCATGCTCAATGATAAGATCAAAAGTATGCATAGTGACATGTCTGAGTACTGGGAATTGAGGAATAAGTGTTACACCCTGAAGATGAACTATCAATCCCAGCAAAAGGAACACCAATGGCGCTGTGAGTCCCATTTACATGAAATGATCTTCCCAGCTGCCACACACTAATGCAAGCAGGAGGCCAAGGACAAGGTGATCCTCTGTCTTCAGGCTGCAGCTGCTTTGCAGGAGAAGGAGACTGAGACTTAGTACCTCAAGATACGATACAAGACTATGATGATATATACTGCAGGTGGAGATGTTCCTAGTCCCTGGTCCTTGTCACCATCATCCTGATTATGTGTTGCTGTTGCTGTTTTTTTAAAAATATTTGTTATGTCATTTCATATACACATTTCTTGAAATCTGTTGTAGTAGTACATGTACATATCTTCTGATTGCCAATGTGACCCTGGTTCTTTCAAGTTACCCTTCCCTATGTTCAGCTCTTGAGTAAGGACTGTCAAACAGTTGATCCATCATCTTCAAATGAGAAGCTTGCCCTGGAGTACCCTCATATGACCTGTCACCCACAACTTTATCTCCATCAGGGTCTTCAGTCTCTTAAGCTGCAAATTCTCTGGCCTCCCATTCAACCCACCTCTGAGAACAATAGAACTTTGGATCCTGCTTGCAATGGTGAGCTTCAAATTGAATGATCATGTTGTGCAAAATGATGCAACACATAATCCAATGGATAGCAATCTGAAGCTCTCTTTCTGTGTGAATATTGAGGTGAAGCTCTTGGAGGGACTGAAACTGCCCCTTAAGAGCAGCAAGTGATGACTCATGCTTTTCACTTTTCATTCTTTGTAATACTACACTTCATTTTGTATGTACATTAGTAAACAAGCTGATTCAACACAAGTTTGTAAGCACATTCTTACCAATCTATGTATGAATCATGCTTAGTAAGATGGCCTCCCAAAAGGTATATAAGGAGCCCATTTTCACCCATGTAATATAAGCTTCCCACTTAACACTCTTTTCTCAAACTGTATGAGAACCAGTAAGATCTAAGTGCAAGCCATTCAGCAGCCTTGAAGTTAAAAATAAAAAACATCTATTCAAGTTATATACTACCTTGCAGGGGTTGACTATATAACAATGTACAACTACCTAGCTAAGTTCTATCAGCACTACTTTCCTCTCTCTTTTTCAGGAAGGGAGACACAAATCACGAGACACACATCATGAATCCACAGGCACACACTTGCCAAAACATATACAAACTTCACACTCAGTATTTCAAGAGCATAGACATATTTCACAATCCACAAACACACACTTGCCAAAACATGTACAAACTTCACACTCAGTATTTTGAGACCACAAGGTTTAAACTAATCGAGGAACAAGAAGGAGAATATTGAAAGACATTCCTCCCAAGAACTCAGCACATTATCTACCACAAAAACTAGAAAAGTCGTAGACCGTGTACTTAAGGACTGGCAAGAAGTCTTATCCTGTATAGTTGTGTTGTCACTATATACATGTCATATATAAGACCCTTAGATAATGTCATATCCCGTATTCCGGACCTATGTCCGATGATGTTCCCATGCCTTCTGGACGCCTTCCGGATGCACATCCGGACCTCCATACCCTTATCCATGACTCCATACCCTTATCCATGCCTTCAGTCCTCCAGTCCACTATTATTACGAACTAGGATAGTTCAGACATATGGCTACTCGATAAGAGTAATCGGCCAAGGTCGGTTCAAGGCTTCGGCGTATACCGAAGTTCGATGTTCTAAGACAAGACAAGGAGAGTGTCCTCGACTTGAATCAAGTTCAATACGACTTAAGATTGGAGGTCTTAAGCGAAGGAAGTTCCAGGTAAAACCTAGTAAGATTAAAGTAAAGAACTACATGGTACAGGACGAGTTTATATAGTACATGGAAACGACTTTAGGGCCGGTACGATGAGATCATAGGGATGAGTCAGAGATAAGACGAGTCAGAGATAAGACGAGTCAGAGATAAGATGAGTCAGAGATAAGACGAGTCAAAGATAACGAAAATAGATCATCTAGCGACGGCAAGATGCGATCGTGATGTAATACAATGATGTAAAAGAAAGAAAATGAATAGGGGCGTACTTGACTGTAACAACTATCGGTTTGGATCCGTACACCTTTGTACATCCATATATCCATACCTCTGGACCTCCACAGCTAAGCCTGCTTCATCCACCCTTAGTTCTATCGGATCCAAGCTCATTCCATCTTGGACTCTACCTTCCCTAGACTACCGGTCTATATCCATGATCCATATCCTAGTCTTGTCTTCACCTAGATCTCCAGATCCACTCATCCAATATCCAGACGCCTCATCCAATATCTCTAGACCTCCAGATCTGACCTATACTCATATCCAAAGCCCAAACCTTAAATCAGTGTCTATCTCCTTATGGTAATCCCCTTGACTCTGGACTTCAGTTATCTCTGTTTCCGTCTTGCTTATTGATCCTTGTACTCTGTTCATCTCCGAGTTCATTTACTTATGTTCCGTTCATACTTACCAATATGTTTCCACATGCTCGTGCATAGCATTTGTGTTCAGCTTACTTATCCTCTCGGATCCCGTCCAGTATATAAACCTCTGTACAACTCCTGTAAAGTTTCCTCAGTTCGAATATCAACATAGACTTGCTCTCTCGCATCTTAGACTTTGCTCTTCCACATTAGACTTCACTCATTCTTGTCTCGGACTTTGGTCCATCTGAGTTCTGCCTTTCCATCAAGGCCTAGGGATGGATTCCCTAGGCCGGAAATCCGGACCTTCGGATTTGTCCCCTATGTCTCTGTTCTGAAGTCTATGGATTGATTCCCTAGACTGAAGTTTTGCCTTTCTGGCACTTCCTGTCTTTCTGAGACTTCTGTCTACTTCCTGTCAACTCCATCTCTACTCAAGTGTAGTCTACCTCTGTTTGTTTCTACTTCGGACCTTGTCCATAGTAGCCTTTCCCCTCCTGTCCTAATCCTGTCCGCTCCTCCGGTCCTCCTAACCTTCGGACGTCGTAACCTTCGGACGTCATAACCTTCGGACGTTGTACCCTTCGGATGTCATAACCTTCGGACGTCGTACCCTTCGGACGTCTTAACCTTCAGACCTCCGGACGTCCTGTCCTTCAGACCACTCCTCCTATCCTATCCTGCTTTGGACTCTGTCCCTTGCAGCCTATCCTCTATGTGTTTCTATCTAGGAAACTTACCTTGGGAAGTCTTACCTTCGGATCTAATACAGTGGATGAAACTCCTCCAGAGTTTCCTATACTCCTCCAGAAGTTTCTCGCACTCATCCGGAAGTCCTCTAGCACTCTACTAGAGTAGCCAGCCTCCAGAAGTCCTTCGGACTTCGTCGGATTCCATCTGGACTTCATTCTGAAATTAAGGGCATGTACTCGGGTAAGGGGCACAGCGCACGAGCTGAGGCCAAGCCCTTCGGATCCGTCTACCCTTGAGCTACGGTCTTAACAGATAACAAGACACCATGGGAGTGTCTTTTTCAAAACAGAACAGACCCAAACACATGAAACAAGTGGTTGCAGAATGGGCCTTAGTAAGGTTAGTCTCTACTAAATAAATCATTCATAGTACCTTAGTTACAGCAGTTTGCATAATGGTAGAGACCAGCAGTAATTCCCAAAAGAAAATGTGCATTTATTTCTGAGAAGTAGTCCTACCAAGATTGATTTTTATCTCAACAATGAAGCAAGCTATTGACATGATCCAAGTGACAAAACTGATCAGAAAAATTGAATGCAGATGACCAGTGGAAAAACTAAGTGATTCGGTGAAGTTGGTGGTCACCTGCCCTCAGAGCCAACAGTTTACAACAACACTTTTTTCTCCAGTCAAACATTGGTTGAACATCTCTCTTACCCTACTATGAAAGGTCACAAATCATCACAAGAACTATGTAAAATTATCATCTGAATGCTACTGCTCCTTGACACATCTGAAATCATGCATACACTGGTGCAAGCAAATCAACAATAGCAAAGATTGCACAATGCTATAAATTGACTGGGAACCCATACAAAGAAAGCCAGAATGGTAATCATAGTGGTAGAACTTGAATGGTGAACTTGAAAATTTTTGAGGTGCATCCAGATTCAATCTCTTTCTGCACAAATTCTGACATGACAAAAGTACATGCATGGCTGTTTGTCCCACAACTGTGATATGTATCTAGACGAGCTCCATGATGAGATGAGCAAGGCTCATGGGAAACACTTGTCATTGTCCATGATCTGGCGAACACTTCATCGCACGGGCTATTCAAGGAAGAAAGTTAGTGTCTTGATTCTCATTGACAACAATGTTTGATTGACATGTGTGATAGGTTGCTTGAGAAGTGAGAGAGCGGAACCTTGATAAACATGCTGAATACATGTATCAGATTGGCCTTGAGTATAGACCTGACCAACATATCTTTGTCAATGAGAGCTCCATAGATCATTGTACTGGCCATCATGGTTATGGCTACCCACGAATGAATAGAAGGGCATTACAATTTTTTGTTCATGGCTTAAGGTATGATCAGTCAACAATCACTTGAAGTAGAAGTGTACTCATTTCCAAGAACTGATAGATACTCAGTGCTCCTGTCACAACCCCTATAATGAATAAACACAAGGGCAGAGACTAGGACTCAAACTAAAGAATAATCACAAGACGATAAGAGCAAGTACACCTTGGGTCGATTCAATGACGAATACACAAGAGGTTTGAACTAAGGAACTACTGACTACAATTGACTACCTATATACATATATTGAATCTGAGTTGTAACTATTAACCAATCATTAAATAGAATAGAATTGTACAATGTTTATATAATAGAACCTTCCAGAAATGAGTCATGTGATGTGATGTTATCTAATCTAATCTAATCACAATCATAGAACATGTCTTCACATCTTCAATCATAGGAGTTATTTGAGTAGTGGGCACTAATGGAATGAAAGTGTCTTTGAATGGTTTCTTAGGAGTTTGATGAGCAGTTTGTGACAGCTCCCAGCCCTTAGCTTATCAGGAATCCTGCTCATGGACATCATTGAGGACTCCTTCACCAAGAGAAGATTTTACCAGTTCATAGATGCATTACTTGATCAAATGAATCCATTCCCTCGGGCTGGTCCAAACTCAGTCATAATCATGGACAACTGTAGCATCCACAAATCTGTACTTGTACAGGAAATGATACTTGAACAGTAGAGTAACTCAACCATTCAGGTGCTGTTTCATCTAACTGCCAGTGTCTTTGGATCCACCTGGCGCTGTGGCTGCCGACAAAGTGCCAGGATTTTTTCATGGAATGGGCCATGGCCATGGTTTAGTCTTTGAGATGACTTCCTGACTTGGAGGATCTTCCACCTGCATACCACTGGGCCAAGGCTCCTTGACCTTGCGCACTCAGGTAGAAGCCTTTGCCATCCTGCAAGACAATGTAGCAGACTGGGAAAAGTGAGATGTGTGTGAATTTGGTTTTTATGCTAGTAGACATGAAGCAAGTGTCCACTTCACCAAATCATTCCATCTTTTCTGCAGTCGTCTGCGCCTCGTTTTTCTGATCAAGTTTGTATCTTACCACTTGTCATTATCTTGCTTTGTTACTGAAATAAAAATCAATCTTTGTAGTTCTACTGGCTCTGAGGGCAGGTGACCACCAACATCAGTAAACCACTTTGTGGTGTACAGCGCTGTACAGTGTGCAAGCTCCACAGCTTGGTCCCTGTTAGCCAGTTCATCAAGTAGCACCTTGCTCTGTGAATTTCTGTACAGACACTCACAGACCACCCAGCAACTACGAAATTCTACTTAAATTGGCAAAAAAAATTGCTGTCTATGTATGTACAGACACTCACAGAGCACCGGAACTGTGCAGATATTGTTCACTGTACTGATATTGCTCGCTGTACTGCTTACACGACACTAAAAATAAAACAAAACCAATATATTCAATCACATGACTATGTTGGACGGTATTAGATCACGATCAGGAACACAATGATACAACGGTGCCTAAAACGATGAAAGAGGGGCGCGGGAATAGAAAACTAGTTGAGAAGAATTTGCAGGTGGTCGTGCTTCGCCTCAACAACTCCTTCGAGATTCAATGCTGCGGCCCTGTGCAAATGAAATTAGTATAAAAGTTTTCGGAGAGGGTGGAGATCCTTGCCATCCCGCTGCAGCCCATTCTTGCAGTTGAGCTGACAGCCTCGGACCATGATACGCGTCTCCAAGGATATCTTTGAGAAATATGAGCATCCGATTGTAAATAGGGCTGTAGTCCTTGCTTGAAAAATTCGGGTATGATTTTCCATGTCCGTTTTTCGCAAGACCGTCGAGGACGCAATTGAACTAGTATAGAAAAAAAATTAATACAACATTTGTGAAGGAGATAACCTACCACTGCAGCAACCAAAGCCAAACACGAGAGTGGCAATTCCGTACAGAAGATCTCTGGCATCCTTTGCGCGATTCGATATGGCCCTGTGTAAAAGAATGCGATGGCAACCTCACGAAGGGCGGGATGGGCAAAATTTCGCGTTTTCCCCTGGCAATCTTCTGTCAGTATAGATGCGATCAGTGCAAGATCACTCACCATTTCGTCCACCCCAAACCGTAAGAATAGTGATTCTTTGATTAAACCAGCAGCCGCATGTTCAATCCAAGCAGCACGTTCTTGAGCGGGGACCGAAAGCGGGGGAATGAGCGAATATGATAGTGGTGCAATGCTTATGGCAGTTTTCTTCAAGTCTGATCGCCAAGTTGAAAGATCGTCGTACAGCTTCAGTACAGACTGTCAGCGATATATCGGCCCAGAATAAGTTAAATACGCACCAACTGAGACATATTAATTTTTTGCTCAGGCCAAACCCCTGCGATGACAGATTAGTTTGAGAACGAACGAGAACAAATGAGCACTCACCAGCTTCAAATTGTTCACCGTTCCTATCCCACATAACCAACGTTGCGATAAGAACTTCGGTGATTGATCCTGGTAGGTTCTTCACCAAGGCTGGAAACGGATTCTCCAGGGCATGTTGCAGGCGACATTCCGCTTTGGCATCCTCCAGAAAACGCTTCCAGCGCGGGCCATACCAAGATAGTTGATCGGGTGTTGGCCCACTACCCGATGCCTTGGACCTTTTGGCTCTTGATGGCTGAACGCTAGACTCGGTTTCTTGATTTAGCAGCTTGAGGGAGTCAGGGTCAGGAAGACGGGGCTTTCTGTTTTTCTCATGGTGGCGCTGCAATACATCCTCGGGCTTCAAGGTAATGGTCTACTTAATTGTGAGCGCCAATTAGAACAATTTCTAATCTCACCTCAATGTGTTGGGACTGTTGCCGCTGTAGGCCTGGTGAGATGTCCTGAGGGCCCTTGAAAAAAAAGAAATGTAAGCGTGTCACAATTAAGTAACGTGATCATACCTGAGAGCTTTCGTTCCGCTGGACGAACAAAATGAAGTGAGTCGGTCTCAGCTAGACTAGAAAACTTACGGAGGTTTTATCAAGGCTCGTCAGGGCAACAACATCATCTTCATCACGTGAATACTGGAATTCAAATTCAGGTGTGAGTGGACGAGCGACTGGAGGTTGCGAAGGTAGTGCATCCTTTGAAAATCCTATGATATCGATTTAATGAAGGGAAATCATGCCACGAAGATGTTTACCTGGATGTTCTTTCTGGCGCCGGCCGGCCTCCCCCCAACCAAACTCCTGCGAGCTCTTGACAGTGTCATCATTCTCCCCCTCTTCATCATCCTCTCCGTCAGCCTCTCTGTCGGGATCTTTGTTGTCGCTGTTGTCACTGTCATCGCTGTCGTTGCTGCTGCTGCTTTTGGAGTCGCTGTCCTCCTCAGATCCTAGCAGCCTCAGATGACGTTGAGCCCTAACAGTGTCATCCTCCTGGCGCAGAGCTGGGTCTAAGTTGTGCTCCAAAAAGACGGACCTCTGGGTATGCTGCACTCGCTGCTCAGCGATAGCGTCCCGAGCTCGTTTCTCAGCGATAGCGTCCCGAACTCGTTTCTCATTGATAGCATCCCGAGCTCGCTGCTCAGCAATAGCGTCCCTAGCTCGCTGCTCAGCAATAACGTCCCTAGCTCGCTGCTCAGCGACCTTCATCCCAACGGTGACATATGGGTTTTCCGACACCTGAAGATTGGGCTTAGCAGTACCGGGATGAACAAAGTCTGTGGTGTTTGAAGCAGCAAATCCAAACCGTCTGCCAGGTTGTAGTAATGTCAAGCTGGGCTCTGCAATATCCATGGCTGAGGCATCTGGAGCATCACTGATGAGCAAGCTATACGGTGGAGGAACCGCCTATGGGAGAATCAACATGAGTAACAACATTAATTAAACACTTACCTTAGAATCTTTCTTTCGACCTTTACGACGTGGCTCTGGGGCTTGGGGATTGACTGGAACATTGGGACCAAGGGACGTCCTACCCTTGTGTTCGTGAGCTCGAGGCTTAGATTGTAGCGCTAATCCAATTTTCTCCAGCTGGGCGTTCCTACCTCCAGTTCCTGCATTAGGGCAGCCAGAACGTCGGGGAGCATCATTTGCTGCTTCTGCTCCAGCCAGGCCGAGTGACACGAGAGGTACCATGCTGGGTACTTCGGCAATGTCTGCAGCCCGCGACTTCTTTGGCAAGCCGGTCTTTAAAGCATCAGATCCTTTGCGCTTGGATCGTTTCCTCTTGGGACTGGCAACGGCACGGGGAGGCATCACTGCAATAAAGAACAGGAAGAGGCAACGCTGATGAATTATACCAGACTCACGAGGATTTTATATCATGTCTCAGTAATCGATATTCGGACGACTAGCGAGAGAAAAACTTCATTGTTAGTAATGATAGTAATAGAGCAACACACCTGAGTCAATGTGTCGCAAGAGTTGTGTATCATGACTCGTACTCGATATTCAGATGGGACTAGCGAGAGAAGATGTGCTTCATATTGACGTCAGTTAAGAAAACGTTTCACACCCAGCCTGAGAGTTACATTCAAATTTCGATTACATAAGCAAAAACAGTGCGCATCATTGGCAAGATGAATAGTAGTACGTAAAAGAAACTGTCTGATTGTGAAGAGAAAGAGAAAAATCAGTAGGGTGCTCGTAGGTGAACTATCATAACAACGTAACACAGTACATGAGATTCTAGGTATGCATATGCCAGTGCAAACAAGCTAATAACAAAGAAGATAGCATATGATGAGCGGGTGGACAAATCGAATCACCTTTCCCTCCTGGTCATGCGTCACTGCCCGATGCTGAATCAGACTCAGTGTCTCCAGTATGATGGGACTTCTGTCGCTTAGGCTCCACAACAGAGAAAGACTCTGAAGCAAGCCGTTTCCCCTTGAAACGATCCGCAAGAACGGCAGCATCATTCTTGAGCATATTCACAGTAGTTGCGAGCTCCTCGTCGTCGGGAAGCTTGTTAAGATGCGAGTTGAGTATACCAAGAATGGTACTGAAGGTGACGGGGTGAATCATGTTGTCCGCCAGAGCTTTACGCCACTCGGTTGCGAGGGGGATGAGGTCCCTGAAGTACGGGTGAAATTCATCAGTGAGACGCTTTTCTTCTGCTGGATTCGCGAAAAAGGTGATCTTGAAGGCGGCGCATGTTTCCAAGTCAAGGCTTGTCCATCGATCCAGCAAGGAATTGGGTAAGGGCCCCTGGCGCACCATGCCATTGGGACCACTGAACTTGATGCAAACCCAAGCGAATATAAAAAAAAGAGACTCCAAGTCATCCGCAAATCTGTGAACGACAAATGATATTGGCAGAGCCAAAGAATCCGATGATGATTTCGGGGTTGTCGGTTTTTTCGTTGATTTATGTGCCCGAGTTTTCTTCTTCATTGATTCCGAGTTCGCCTGTTGCTGCAGGATTGCGACCTGGTTGAGTAGCCCACGTGACATGAAAGGGACTGTGCCCTGGCAAATGAATTAATAAACTGAATATTTAATGAATGAGGTGTACTTACTGTACCACCGATGGGATATTTGTTATCCGCGGCAATACGAACTGCGAACTCCCAGTCAATAAGAAACCCTTCACTACTGCCAAGCTCGTCTAGGATCATCGCGTTGTTAAGACTACAGTCCCGATGCAAAATCTGACGTTCCTCCACTGCAGTTTGTAGGACTAAAATCAGAGAGCATCAGTTTAAGACACCTGTACCACGAACTAGATGCTTACTCTTAACAATATCTCTTAGTGCTCGCACGAACTCCTTAAGCGTTCAGAACATGTGAAGGGGGCGACCACATGGCTTCAAGACAAGACGCACATGAGTACGACTGGTGCCTCTGGTACTCCGGTGTTCCTTGTGCCGATATTTGCAGGTAATGTCGGGCTCACCATCTGACCGCTCAACAACCCAATAATCCACCAGCCTTGGAACGCCAGGGACGTTGTCCATTAACTCCAGCATCTTGATCTCGTTCAGGACTACATTATCGTCCTTGCCCAGAACCCAATGATCTTTGATGATGTAGTCTTCATCGTCCAAGGTGACTAAATAGCAAACGGTTCCGCGACCAACGAGGCCTCGGGTTGCAAAAAGAATCCTCTTTATGGTGTAGATTTTCTCCCCTACACGAATCTTGCCGCAAGGTTCGGGTGATTGAGTAGAATAAGGGAATTGGGAAGGGAGAGGGGTGACGGAATAGATGCTCTCGGTCATCTCAGCCTGGGGTATTTGCGATATGAGGCTAAGAAGGGGAGCGCTGCGGGTTGCAGTGGGTTGAGGGGGGGAGGAATTCTCTTCATCCATCGAGTCATGCAAGGCGCTCGGACTCTCTTCAGTTGAGTCGTGAGCAGAATCACTAGAGGACTCATCAGAGTCATCAGAGTCATCAGAATCATCGGAGACGACCGATTCAAGAGCTTCGCCGGATGATACATCAGGATTTGGAAGAGAATCAGAGCTCGATGTGGTAACAGCATGGTCTGTCGTACTACTCCGTCGGGCAGGAGTATTTCTGATGGGACGATAGCCGTGGATATCTTTGGATCAGGGTGGTGAAACAATCCTCGAGAAGGAAACTGTTGTGTCATAACCGACGCACTCTAAACTCCCAAACATGATAGCAGCGATGATGTGTAGAAATGCGTTGGGTTGCGTGTAAATATCGAAGCGAGGGGATACAGCACCACCTGAGTGGTCATACATCAAGACCCTAAGGTGGCGATATTTATTTGTGAATGATAATATGAGAGCGAAGCGCCTCCAGGGCTGTTCACTCATCATAATATAGGCATGGGTATCCGCGGCCTTCCCGAGTTGCATCGCAGGCTGGTATCGACTGTGCGTGAGTTCTGCTGATACCCTGATGTTTCCCCACTTGGCAGATATATCGTCAGATAGGACAATATCTGGCTTGCGCTTGATGGCGCTGCCAGGCAATGCCTTCTGTGCATTGGCCGCACTCCATGTGCCGGTTGCAAAGCGCATTGCTACAAGTTCGGACCGCGACCGTGACAAGCAACTAGCAAAAGCATTGAGAAACGCTGCAAAATTTTCTTCATGAGTTGTTTCCTGTGTGGCGTTGTCCTCCGAGTCTGACCCCGAGTCAACCCCAGCTGGAGTACTACCATTTTCTGGGGGGTCAACTGGAAGAGCCCAGTTCCAAGTCTTCGCTTCAGTGTCATACAGCGGCACTAGGGTATCTGGTGATGTACTGCTAAACTTTTCATTGATGCACTGGTTGTGATGAAGGATTTTTCCAAAAGGTATTTTAAGGTTGGACACATCGGGAAGAGGAATTGTGAAAGACTGGAAGATTTGGGTGAGTAAGTGTCCTAGTATCGGTTGTGAGGCCTTTGGTGTATCCTCGTGAGTGACCAGCCGATTAAGCTCGTTGGACGTGATCTTGTTCATAGCAGGGACGTCAGTGACATCGGGGATAGACACAAGTGATGACAATTTGATTCCGTTGTCAACAGTCCTGAAAAAACAAGCCATTTTGTATGTGACAATAGTGAGACAAACGCTAGCTTATCACGCCACATAGCGCCTCACAGCGCCATCAAAGATTGGACCAATGATCTAAGAATAAGATAGACTAGAATAACCATTGGCTAGATACACAACTGACGCGAGCATTGCATAAAAAAGGGTGACTACGTCAAAGTTACATGGAAAGAGGAAAATATGAGTTCTTGTCCCAATACTTGTTGAGCCAAAACTGCGAAGCATGTTCCATGCTATTATATGGGGTGAGGCGGTTGTCCGCACTTGCACCGAAGCGAGGGACGAGGTTGACAAGTGCTCTGAGCTGTGTCACAGGCACGATGTCACCCACCCGAGTACCATTTGAACGCTTCGCTCGTTGAGCAAGTGGAGCTGCGTACTTGGCTCACGATCATTGGTACCGGAGCTTTGGGGAACAATGTCAAAGCGATGTACATATACCAGAAAGCGGTCCTTCCATGACCAATTTGTGCCACTCTTTCCAACAGGACGCATGAGAAGCCTGATCTGACCAATAGTATGACCTATGACTTGACAATAAGTAAATATTCAGTACAATGTAAGAATAACATACCGTGAAGACCATCTGTGGGCCATACACATCTCGCCTTGTTATTGATGATGGCTGTGTCATACCGGCCAGAGGTCCAGGGATCAGAAGGGGGTGCGCAGTTGAGGGTCTGTGCAGGCCGTATGATGCTGATATCATGAAAATCGGTGTCCTGGAGCCGAAGCTTAAACCAGACTTGTAGTTTGTCGAAGGGAAGTGGAGTAGTGGGTCCAGCTCTTCTAGCCCCCCCAATAGTATGGATGTGATCCCTCCCGTGAGTATCCTCACGACGAAGAAAGTCGGCAATGGCTGGTCGTAAGTCGGGAAGGCCAAACTTAATGGCAGCATCGTCAACAGATATATTTCTGATGGATGGGTCGTGTCATATCCCGTATTCTGGACCTACGTCCGATGATGTTCCCACGCCTTCCGGACACCTTCCGGATGCACATCCGGACCTCCATACCCTTATCCATGACTCCATACCCTTATCCATGACTCCATACCCTTATCCATGCCTGCAGTCCTCCAGTCCACTATCGGTTTGGATCCGTACACCTTCGTACATCCATATATCCATACCTTCGGACCTCCGCAGCTAAGCCTGCTTCATCCACCCTTGATCCCATCGGATCCGAGCTCATCCTATTTGAGACTTTACCTTCCCTAGACTACCGGATGATATCCATGATCTATATCCTAGTCTCGTCTTCACCTAGATCTCCGGATCCGCTCATCCGATATCTCTAGACCTCCGGATCCGACCTATACTCATATCCGAAGCTCAAACCTTAAATCAGCGTCTATCTCCTTATGGTAATCCTCTTGACTCCGGACTTCGGTTATCTGTGTTTCTGTCTTGCTTATTGATCCTTGTACTTTGTTCATCTCCGAGTTCATTTGTTTATGTTCCGTTCATACTTACCAATATGTTTCCACATGCTCGTACATAGCATTTGTCTTCAGCTTACTGATCCTCTCGGATCCCGTCCAGTATATAAACCTCTGTACAACTCCTGTAAAGTTTCCTTAGTTCGAATATCATCTTAGATTCTGCTCAACATAGACTTGCTCTCTCACATCCTAGACTTCACTCATTCTGATCTCGGACTTCGGTCCATCTTAGTATTGCCTTTCCTTAGGCCTAGGGAAGGATTCCCTAGGCCAACCTTCCGGTCCTCCGGATTTATCCTTCTGTCTATATCCATGCTTAGGGATTGACTCCCTAAGCCGAAGCTTTGCCTTTCCGGCACTTCCTGTCTTTCCGAGACTTCTGTCTAAACCCCGTCTATCCGACTCTACCATAGTGTAGTCTACCTCCGTCTGTTTCTACTCCGGACCTTGTCCGTTGTAGCCCTTCTTCTCTTGTCCTAGAATCCTGTCCGCTCCTCCGGTCCTCCGGACGTCGTAACCTTCGGACGTCGTAACCTTCAGACGTCGTAACCTTCGGACGACGCAACCTTCGGACGTCTTAACCTTCAGACCTCCGGACGTCCTGTCCTTCGGACCACTCCTCCTACCCTATCCTGCTTTGGACTCTGTCCCTTGCAGCCTATCTTAGTTTCCTATACTCATCCGAAAGTTTCCTGCGCTCATCCGGAAGTCCTCCAGCACTCAACCAGAGTAGCCAGCCTCCGGGAGTCCTTCGGACTTCGTCAGATTCCATCTGGACTTCATTCTGAAATTAAGGGCACGTACTCGGGTAAGGGGCACAGCGCACGAGCTGAGGCCAAGCCCTTCGGATCTGTCTACCCTTGAGCTACAGTCTTAACAGGTCGTAGGCGAGGTGGAATGCTGTGCGTTCAATAATGAACGCGCGCAATGGCACAGGGACTGTTCCCGCTTCCCTGTGCTGAAGGACCTTGGCAATTTCGAAGTAATTAGTGGTCAGACGTGAATGCCCAGGGTATTTGTTCATCGCTAGAAGGTGTGGGATATCATGATCGACATCTGTGTCGAAATCAACATCGCCATCGTCGTGATCGTCGTCTGCATCGAGATCAACGTTGTCATTGACATCGCCAACGTCATCTGAACCCTGCCGCTTCGAGTCTGCCATATTGTTAAGCAGACTCATAGCGAGGTCAAAGCGGCGGCACTTATCGGTACAGTCAAGATGGTGACATATCTGGGGATCGTAGTTGTTGTTGTTGCTGGAGCGAGCAGGATCCTTGATTTCCGTTATGTGCGCATGTTCGGTGGTGTCGGCGGTCCATTGCAGAGAAACTCCAGTGTTCCTTATGCTCGGAACTATGGACTGCATGAGCTCCAGCTTTGGTATGTACCAGTTCTCAATGACTCCACCACGCTGACCACGACGAAATCCGCCATCTATAATTGCATCTTTGTTGGCGTGAAATTCTTCAAGGGCCGTGGAAATATGGGTGAGTTGGATGTCATCGATTACGGGTGACTGTACGAGGTACCAAAAGTCCATGAGAGCTCGTACGGCAGCCATCACGGTGCTAGGTACTGCGTCCGCGCTGACCGCGACAATTGAGCGCTGGATGTCGCGTTGAGCGCGTCCTGTAACCTGTTTAAGTTTTGAAATCCCGCCATGAAAATGACGGAACCCAGTGATGACCTGCAACACAGAGAACCGAAAATCGATCTCTGATCTCTGTGTCACTGACTGCGCAAATGAGCCACTTTACATCGTGGTCATAGAACTCGCGATGGATGAGGTGAAGAAACTCGGGAGTAAGAAAGTGTGATGGATCACTGAGGGGCCAATCTAGCCAGAATGGTGTGTTGACGCCATTCAGACGAAACTTCTGGGCCTCACGGAAAAAAGCCTCGATGTCATCGGGATCAACTTTACTCCGTGCAGTAGCCAGCTGGGAGAGTGTAGTTGCTCGTGTGCGAGGTTCATGACGGAAAGAATCTCCAAACTGTTTATACATGGCCATAGTAACCGGAGAGGTTTTCCCGCCAACGGCAGCCAGCATCATGGCCTCCGGGGTGTCGACAATATAGCTTGCGAGCGGTGTGAAACAGTAGCGACTGTGTCCGATAGGATCTGACAGCATGACCCCTTCGCGGGCAGCTACCTTGAGTGGACGTAGAACTATATCCAAGCATTCGTGAATGAGGCGATCCTCAAGTACACCTCACATGCGTTTCTTCTTGTAGATGAATCTTGGGACGGGGAGTAGAGCAGTAAGGACAAAGGCATTCGAAGACGATTTGAGTCGGGTAGACATGCGTATGTTAGCAAGGCTAACGAGAAGGGGATGTGCAACTCTGTCGCCCGTCATGGTCGATACATTCGTCTTGTCAGATGATAAGATGGTCCCAAGGAGTGTTGCACCTTTTGGTAGGGCTGACTGTCCGAAAACTGATAAGTATGACAACTCGCACAAATGATACTATGCGTACCTGCATATTCCACGCGTCATCACCTGTCGCCCATTCCGAGAACACACGACACAACCTCTGTGCAGTGGTATACACCCTGCGAGGTGTAAAGTCCAGCTGATCATGAAAGGCAGGATGGTTGAGAAGGCTTGAAATACAATCCAGGGGATCGCGCCAATACAACACAATGGGCAATTTCGTAGGAAATTTTGTAGGTATGATTTGAGACATCCAGCGCGGACCGCTGGGCAACATTTCCGCTCTACTGCGAAGTTCCCTGGCCGAAAGGAATGACAACGGAAGGGTCTTTATCTGAATCACTTAGAAAAATTGTAAATATTATCGACGAATTTGTTACTCACCATCTCGAGTGAAAGAAAACTGTCTATCTTCCCCATGCTCAATCCTGAGCGAAGGAGCCACGACCCAACTTCCCAGTCTTTCCGGCTGCTGAATGGGTAATACGGATTCATTGCACGGTGTTTGCTGTTATTGTCGGAATTGAATAGATCGAGGAACGTGTAGCCCTTGCCGTATGTTTGAGCGCAGTCAGGATATGAGTCGATAACTTCCGAGTTGTGAGTTGGCATTCCCTGGCTCTCACTACCACCAGTACTCCCTTGAGACATCTCATCCCAATCCCCAAAACCACCAGACTCGATGTCGGGTATATTCGGTCCATCATCCATATCCATGGAAATATTTGGTTCATCATCCGAGTCCATACGAGAGTCATCAGACTCGGGGCGAAAGCATGCCAAATCCTGCAGCCACATACTGCACCCAGAACGAGGTTGGCTCATGTGACGAGCAACAGCGACATCATTCTTGAAACCGCCTTTGCCGCATGAAGGACACTGGAATGACGACATAGCGTGCACGTGAGAATTCTGAGACGTTCAACTGTAAAGGTATTGATTCCGGAATCCGAACATATTAGTTTTTCAGTCCCTCATGTCCGAGTCAAGCCACACACCAATACATCTCAATCTGAATGTCTCTAGTGATAGTGACGTATCATTGGCGTCACGTATGCGCCCGCGATGCAATAAGTGGCAAGCCAACTATGTCCTGGGTGACTCTGGCAGTGGTATCGCAGATTTGTACGATGTGGTCGACGCTATTGGCTCAATGGTAAGTGACTGTGATATCTTACTAGGCAATGCTCGTTCACATGCCCACAGACCATCAACGATGTTGATGATCTTGAAGCCAACCTCATCATGGACCTTGCAAGGGCCCGACGTGATGTATTCGATGCAGAGAAAACACTTGCCGATTGCATCGTCCGAGAACATGAAGTCATGACGTCTCTTTCAAAACACAAGTCCGCCATCTCTAAGCGCAAGCTTGACAAGGCGGATGTAGGATTGGGTCATATGCGCATCACATTCAGGAAACATGGTCTTTCTCACCACCCAGCGCCACACAATTTTCACGGTAAGTACGCCTATCATTTACATAGTACTACCAACTAACACCTTCGTATCATAGACTCATTCGCATCCTGCCGTCAGGTCGCCATCCAGTTGGACTGATGACAAGTACCTTCTTTTGATTTGTATCAAATAGAAACATTGTATTTGGCAGTAGTACTCTCACTAAATATGATTCGGCCATGAAATTTTGTTTATGTCTTGACCTTGGCGGATGTGCTTCAAATTGTTTTAATTTTCTAAGTATAGCTCTAGCTCAAACTACATACTAGTAGTAGCGCTTGAGAAATGGAAATGGTGACTAGTACTAGTATTTTACTGACAAACACTGTAAGCAGCTGTACACCCTGTGAGCTCTGTCCCTCTGTGGGTTGCTGTGAGGAACTAGTATCAGAAAATGTCGATGCTGGGAGAAATCTACTGTGAGCTCTGTGCCGCTGTGGGGCGCTGTGGGTTACTGTGGGAAACTGTCGGAAATGTTATGTCTGTGGAGAAAATTGGGGTTTACTGATGAACTTCACCGAATCACTTAATTTTTTCGCTGGTCATCTGCGTTCGATTTGTCTGATCAGTGTTGTCACTTGGATCATGTCAATAGCTTCGTTGTTGAGATAAAAATCGATCTTGGTAGGACTACTCTTCGGAAATAAATGCACTTTTTTTTTGGGAATTACCGCCGGTCTCTACCATTATGCAAACTGCTGTAACCAGCCATATCACAGGCCGAGTCTGCGAGATTTTGACGCACGTCACACCAGCAGATTCAGTTTGCGATTTCGCAGACTCCACATTAGTTGTAGCGCAACAAGCAATAGTAAGCCTGGTCTTCAAGCGTCAAGCTTCAAGCTGGACTCGCATGGACTTTTTATCGCAGACCTATATCGCCCTTCGTGGTCCAACAGGCGCTCCTCAGTCTGCGCAGGACACGATCGTGACCGGTTGTCTCCTTCTACTCTCCTTGCGGACAGACGCGCTGCTGTCCTTGCTTTGAAGGGTTTGGCTCGCAATTGCAAGGAAGATGTCGGTGAAAGGGCCCTTCCTGGTCTCCCCGAAGTCCTGCAGAATGATGTGGAAATAGATGCGGAAATAGCGAAGGCCGTGCTCGAGACTATTACCCAGCTCTGTGAACCCGATGACGATTCCAAGGACCTTACGTTGCAACACACGGACTATGTTATCGGAAACGATCAGGCAGTTCATGTTTTGTTCTCCCTCCTTGGTGACACGCACTTCTATACCCGTTATACGACACTACAGTTGCTCTCGGTGCTACTACAGAACCGCCGTTCTCAAATTCAAGGATATTTCCTCATGGCCCCTGCTGGTGCCACCAGTATCATTGCCGTCTTGGAGGATAAGCGCGAGATCATTCGTAATGGTGTGTATTTTAGTTACTCCATCTCGTCCCACGCGTGGTACACTGGTAGACCTGCTCATACTACCTGTCTCGACAAAGTTGGATGTCGAACATAACTTAGTCCTCGCGTAGCTGTGCTCATCCTTAAGTTCCACCTGTAGCAGAGCTGTTTCATGACAGTATCCGATGCAGGTCTACCTAGGCCAGCATAAGAGTCATTGATTACCCTCACTAACACCAATACACTTTCAGAAAGCCTCATGATTCAAATGCTTATTTCTCAAAGCCCTGACATACAGAAGGTGCATTTGAAAAGCTCTTCAATACTGTCACACATGAAGGCGGATTGGAGGGAGGTGTGATCTCACAGGACGCACTTCGATGTGTCGACAGTCTACTTCGATATAATAGTTCGAATCAGGTGATTAATGTACTCTGCTTGAAGCGCATTTCCATTGATCTCTACGATAGAGTTACTTCCGCGAAACGTCCCTTTCAGCGTTGTTATGCTCCCTCTTGCTCCTACCGTCCAACCTTTCCCTGCAAGATTCAGCTCCACAAGACTTTGCACTGCAATTTTGGGACTCACAAAAAGTGGTAAATGTGTCACTGGTGTTTGGTATCATGGGAATGTTAGTCGGGTCTAAAGGCAGCGTCAGTAGATTCCAATATCCTTCCTACATTTGTTTCATAGTTTCCTCAGAGCCAAGAACTATCCGTCTTCGTGCGAGGTTTTGTCGAACTAGCCCTTGCATCCAACGCACCAACATATACCAAGTCTCAGGTCCGTTTTCTACGGCAAGCATCTCACAAAATACAAAACCTGATTGCATGCGTGCGTCAGGCTCTCCATCTCCTTCCTAGCACGTTGACTCTCCCGCTCTCGGAGGTGATTTTGATCCCCTATATGCCTGTGCCTGAGACACACGGAGAAGAATGGGACAGACTAGAGCCGGCGTCCGCGCTTGATGCACTTGTAGAGCTCGCACTCCACGGAGAGTACAATGGGCTATACAGTGATGGTCGTACCAAGGAGGGACTTGAGCTAGGGAGCGCAGCTGTAATTGCTTTTGATGTACGTCATTGTTCTCATCCTCCGGCAGAAAGGGTCGGCATTGATACATTATAGAACTTTGTGCGGAAAGAGGATATCAGACATGCCATCGTGCAAGGGATGCTTCCTCCCCAACGTAAGCAACATCTTCCATACCAGGCAAAGACGATTCAGATTGTATTTGCAGAACCAAGTGAGGTTCCAATGATATCGCCCCTTCTGCACACTCTCTGCCTCTCCCCGTCATCCCCTCCCAACATCGCTAACGTAACCTCTGCTCATCTCGCCACACTCCTCTTTGCTCATCTGCTATTTGGCTCCCCAAGAGCAAAAACTTCCACCCGGTCTATCAAGCCTTCTTCCAACATTCCGGGAGAGACTTTGGGTCAAGGACCACTTTTTGTCCCTGCGGATAGTACTCCAGCGCCAACGCCGCCGGGAGAGGACGAGGAAGATGCCTCGCAGAGTTTGTTGCACCTCTTTGCCGAGAACCTCTCATTGTGCTTCCTATCTCAAGGGCTGAGGACGACCATGAGGAACACGAGTGGAATAGATTGATTGTTGGGTACAGCTGCCTGCTTGCAGTGGCTCTGGGATGACCCTAAAGCCGTAAGGGAATTCTTAGAAGCCGGCGGGCTGGGCACAGTGAGTCTTTCGCCCGATTCTGTGAACACTTACGAGACCTCAGGAACCCATAGTTAGTGGAGCCTATTAATCAGACTTCTGAGTCGGAATACCTCATCCCTGGACTTTGTGCCTTTCTACTGGGCATCTGTTATGAATTCAATCGGGAACCGGGAGAGATCGCTCGGCATGTGCCTTTCATCTGTTGTCTTTCACACGTGTTTATATTTGCGTATTCAACAGCGCTACTGTATCCCATCATCTCTCGTTTAGGCGTAGATGTGCTTCTCGGTCATATGACTCGCGTACAAGAGCACGACTGGTTCAAGTCTATCGCCCCTGAATCCATGGTACTCTGTTATCCATCCAAGGCACTCCAAAACACTCCACCCGCCGAACAGGAAGGCGAAATCTGGCTCCACTGGTCTTTTGTTGACTTCTGGAAATCAAATCAACGTGCGCTACCAGTATTCTCTATTGTATGTCATTGATCTGATGACTTCCTTAAAGATACCATCCAGAGGGGTCTGGCAACGGACCCTAGCACTCTGGCTTCATCGTCAGGTCAGTAGCAAGACAAGGACTATCACCAACCACGTTGACTTACTTGCGGTAACAGGTCCAAGTGCAGAGTCCGCGATGCTCATCAATTCTCTCAAAGACGACATTCGCTCTCAGGTGCAGGAGATAGATGCATTGCAACTTCGTCTCAAGGAGCTATCGGCTACTGAAGCTCGGGTACGTGGTCATGGATGTATCTGGATACTGCTGCTTACTATGATTAGTCGAGAGTTGGCTGACTCAGAGGCGCGTGTTGCGGAGCTTGAGGCTGAGTTGCAGACACCAGATGGCAAGAAGAGGGAGGTCGAGAAGGAGCAGGTGGATCTTCTGGTCCTCCTCGACAACCTGAGCACTAAGCGCAGACGAAACAAGCAGCGGATGAGAGAAGCAGGCATGGAAGTTTCCGGGGACGAGGCAGATGGTGACAATGACGAAGAAGATGAAGATCAGGGAGGTGAGGAGTAAAGTCCAGTACCGATCGAGTTTTATTTCTGCTAGGGCACTACCGCATCTCAACATCTCACTTTTCCAGATCACCAGTGGCATCGTTCTGATTCGAAGTTCTCTTCCCTATAACTATTCCGACATCACCGCGGTCAATCCTTCCGAATTTCATCTCCATCTGATGTGATCCTAAGGTACTTCATGTCCGTGTGTTTTCTACTCAGATCAAGCGTTTTCTAGGCCCACTCTACATGCAACCTACATCTGATCATACATTCACAGTCTTGTCAAACGTGAGTCTTTGACTATTCCTGGCTACGTTCATGCACGATCCATAAAAAGGGCTTGACCTTTCGTTCTTGTATATCATGCCCGAGCGCCTAACTTCGTGATCGTGTGCCTGATGTGCTGTTCGCAACCCACGTACATACATGCAATCACATGGAGATAGCGGGTGAGTTGGGTAGTACTCTGGTTTTATTTGCATGATTTGGATTAAGAGTTCATAGTATGGCAAGGACGCTTTGTATTCGCTTCAAGGTATCTACTGCACGTCTACACCGTGCATTCGCAAATTCGAGCTGCGTGGTAAGCACTTTGAATGAATTCGAAGAGCCTCGTATTGGTTTAACCATCTATTACTCCGTCAGAGCGATCATTTACTTCTTTCTTCTCTCGACTCATGGATAACCTTCCTTTTTTCCAGGGATACGTAATCTCCGATATTAACAAGCCTAGCCAGCTCAACTCGAATGATGCGACCTGAATGCTTGGCTGCTGGCCACGAGGTTCGACGGAACCAAGTACCTTGATGTCCCTTTCCTCCTTGACAGTTTCTCCCAACTGTCTCCAGAATCCAGGTTACGAGAAAATTTGATACCAAAGTGCTTCTGGGATTTATAAATGCAGTGTTCTTGAGGAAGTTTCGATCACAACGAGATGGCTGGTCTCACCACCTCGTTGATTTGGATCATATCCTCGCTCACAGCAGTACGAGCTTATGTTATCTGCAATACAGAGTCACTCATCTCTCTTCTCCACAGGCTGGCTATGCATATCGTTTCCCCTCACACCATCTTCACCATCTTCACCGACGCGACACAACCTGGACTGCCCTTGGATGCTGGACGTGAGTACACTCTTTCACGATTGTGAAAACTTTATGACCGGCGTCGTCCAGCGATGGTGTTGATGGTACAAGAACGCTTTCTGCAGCTACCTACACAGACACTGTGAATATGACTATAGAGTCATGCGTCAACTTCTGTTCGACTGGCTCCAACGCCTATGCCTACGCAGGCGTCGGATATGCTCAGGAGTGTTGTACGTGTTATTTCACACTGATTTATATGGCTCTTCATTGCATCTTTCACATAGACTGCGGCAACTACTTCTTCAGTGGTGCTACCAATGTCAGTTCATCAGACTGTGACATGGCCTGTACTGGTAACGCTGGCGAATTCTGTGGCGCTGGCAACAGACTGGATATATTCTGGAGCGGGGTCCAGCCTCCCGCTCCGCCCATCCTGGTCTCTAGCCTTGGCAACTGGTCGTTGCTCGGATGTTACAAGTGCGTCCCCTTATGCCAAGCATGAATTCTGAACTAACCCGGATTTATACCAGCGACTCAGCGACACGAGCATTGCCATACGGGACCGGCGTGACCGGAAGCGTTACTGTTGAATCTTGTACCACCGCGTGCTACAATGCTGGATACCCTTATGCAGGCATGGAATACGCTGATGAATGCTGTGCGCATGCATCTTCGGTCAAACGTTCCTTTTGCTGACAGGTCTTTGCAGATTGCGGCATGACCATCGAGAACAATTCTGGTCCCACCCCAGACGCAGGGTGCGATATGACATGCGCGGGAAATTCGTCCGAGTATTGTGGAGGATCGTACCAACTCAGTATGTATAGCTACACCCAGGCTATTACAGTTGCCCCTGTTGTCAATTCCGCCAGTCTCAGCACTGTTTCGCCTGTGACATCTGGCTTAACTGGAAACTGGACGTATGGAGGATGCTACGTCGACAACGTGAATGGGCGCGTAATAGGCAACGAATTTGACAGCAGTAACATGATAGTGGAGAGTTGTATCGCGAACTGTGCCGGGCAAAACTTCACCATTGCAGCCATAGAGTACAGCACACAATGCTGTAAGTAGTCTATCTTCTTCTTCACCTCTTCTGACACTTCTTCTAGACTGTGGTGATTATCTCATCAATGGTGCTACGAAGGGCACAGACAGTGAGTGCAACATGGCCTGTGGTGGAAATGCGATGTGCGTGTCTTCTTCAATTCGCACGTTCTATGTTCTTGACGTGAACTAGTGAGGCATGCGGTGGTCCAAACCTACTGTCTGTTTACTCCTCCAATGGAAATATAACATTACTCCCTGTTCCTGTGCTGCAAACCACAAACTTGCCTGGACAATGGGTATATGAAGGCTGTTTGGCGTTAGCGATTCTTCACTGCCTATGCTTGCGATACTGATGTTACCATACAGGGAACCATCCACTGGGCCTCGGACATTCCAATATGAAAATGAATGGGACACGAACAATACTGTCGATGCGTGCTTGAACCAGTGTGCTGCCTTCGGGTATCCCGTAGCTGGCCTTGAATACGGAGTCCAGTGTTGTAAGCGCATTGATTCGCTACAGCTTCTTGTGGATTGCTGATAGAGACAAGTCTGTGGCGACGTCAGTGATATCACGGCGGTTGATGGGACGTATGTCTCGGATTCACAGTGTAACATGGCTTGCTCAGGAGACCCAATCCACCTGTGTGGAGCAGGAAACAGGTTGTCTACCTATTATTGGAACGGGACGATGAATACGTGGAACACCCCCGCGAATACTGGCTACTATGAGGTGCGTCCCATCTGTCTTGAATATACAAAACACTTATAATCTATGCAGTTCTTAATAGGCGGTCTCGTCGTCCCTCTCATTGCCACTGTGGGCATCAACAACAAAGTCACTTTCCTCGAGAAGTGGGGTACCTCGGAATATGATAATTCTACTGGCGCGTACGAGTTGGATCTCAGTTTGGTGGACAATTACCAGCTGGCTTGGCGCGAGATGCATGTGCAGACGGACGTGTTTTGTTCTGGTAGTATTATTCTACCAGACTTGGGAGGAAGGTTTGACGTCTCACTTGGCATATCAGGCTCACGCTCACATTGGAACAATTAGGCAAATCAATGTAGGCGGATGGTCGCTTTCCTCGACTTTTGGTGTGAGATTATATACGCCGGATGGGAGCCCTGGTGTCAATGGTACCAATGACTGGGAAGAAAATGTTAATGAGCTTACACTTCAGGTAAGCTCTGAACTATTGGTATTTAGCTCATTATACTTATCGTGCTCAGCGTGGCCGATGGTATCCTACCGCGATGATGATGCCAAATGGAAGTATTTTGGTCGTTGGCGGAGAGTCGGGAAGTAATGCTTCCCCGCAGCCCAGCCTCGAGATCCTTCCAGCGCCCCCTGGTGGCGACACGGTCGTTACATTGGACTATCTTCAACGGACAGACCCCTACAATCTCTACCCATTCCTAATGGTGCTGCCTAGTGGTCGGTTCTTCATTGGTACGTACATTATGGGTGAGATGCACTATTTCTTACAGAACGTAACAAGGGTATTACAATGAGGCTCGCATTCTTGACCCTATCACCTTTGACACGGTGACCGTGCTACCAAATATGCCGGGGGCCGTGAACAACTTTCTCGCAGGCCGGACGTACCCGATGGAAGGGTCTGCGGTACTTTTGCCACAGTACGCTCCATACACCGATCCGATCGAGGTTCTCATATGTGGTGGCTCGACGATTGGAGCCGCTATTGCACTGGACAACTGCATCTCGATTGCCCCCGAAGTACCGAATGCGAGATGGACGTTGGAACGTATGGTGAGCCAATTTGATTTTGGGAAAGTTAAGGTTTGATGCTAAGATGTGCCAACTTCAGCCTTCTAAACGGGTGATGCCTTGCATCACGACTCTGCCAGGTAAATATTATGACGAATGACAGGCTCGACATTAATAATACATCGATCGCAGATGGCACGTATTTGATTATGAACGGCGCTCATCAAGGTGTTGCTGGCTTTGGCCTTGCGACAGATCCCAATCTTGGCGCAATTCTATACGACCCTTCACAGCCGATTGGTCAGCGTATCTCCATCCTCAACAATACCATTGTAGCTCGTTTGTATCACTCCGAAGCGACCCTTCTGCCCGACGGGCGTGTCCTGGTGTCTGGTTCAGACCCGCAGACGAACTATCCCAACGGGTCCCGTGTGTACCCAGAGGAAATGCGCATTGAGGTTTATGTTCCACCATACCTCAATCGAGGATTCATGCAACCAGAGTTCAAAATTACTGAGACTGACTGGAAGCTGGGTGGGCAGTATATTATTACGGTGACTTTGTTCCAGGGAACGACGAACACCATGCGTATCTCACTCGTGGCGGGTAAGCAAGGCTGGTGATTATAGATGGATCGGTTTCTGATTATGATATATAGCTTCGTCTAGCACGCACGGAAACGTCATGAGCGGTGGGAGGATTCTCTTCCCTGCGTTTTCGTGCTCTGGGAACACCTGTACCATCACAGCACCCCCGAATGCGTATGTAAGTCCACCTGGATGGCATCAGCTTTTCATTTTGGACGGTCCGACGCCATCGCACTCTGCTTGGGTCCGCATCGGAGGTGACCCTGCACAGTTGGGCAACTGGCCTGATTACCCTGACTTTACCAAGCCAGGTGTTTAAACCAACCCCTCCTTCGTTATACCTTCTTTTGAACATTCTTTGCGTTTGGACTTCTTCGATTGTTCTTCAAGTATACCCTATGTATTCTCGAGTCACGCTCATTTCGCTCGTTTTATAAATATTCTTCATTTATGTAGAACTGTCTATTATACCTGTGATGATGGCCGGGAAGTAATAATTTCCTGTGGTATGAGGTACAGTGGTGATACAACTTTAGTTTATCTGAAAATGATTACTGGTTTAGCCTCGTCCATGTCTAAGGTAGGACACCACATACCAGCTACTAGTTGGTACAATGGTACAACACCAACGAGACGGTGTGTGCCCAAGATTACAAGCATTCAGTGCTATGCATCGGTGGATGGGGACTAGGCTGTCTGTTCTCGTAGATGAGAGGCGCTCTTTCAACGTCGGATGTAGTGTCGTCAATGGCCTTTCTACATGAGCAGCAGCTAGTACTACAGAGGTGCTCTGTGCATGGATGTTCTACCAGTGCAGAATTGCATTAAACGATGCTCATGAAATCGTAGTGCTTACGTATGGACATGAAATCAAGACATATTCCAGCCATGACATCGCAGCACGCAGTGAGTCCAAGCGCGCAACACGTGCCTAGAGTATCAGACATGGTGTGAATAAGGTTCATGCATGCCGCTTTCCAACATAGGCATTGTTTGGCTCTATTGTTCAAAGCCCCTATGTATTCGACACTCATTTCGCTCGCTCGTTTTATAAATATTCGTCATTTATGTGGAACTGTCTACCATAGTTGCCCAAGTAATAATTTTCCTGTGGTATGAGATACAGTGATGATACAATATTGGTATATCTGAAAATGATTACTGGTTTAGCTTTGTCCACTAAGGTAGGACACCACATACCTACTAGTTGGTACAGCGTGCGCGCCCAATATTACGAGCATTTAATTATATGCATCGGTGGATGGGGACTAGGCTGTCTGTTCTCGCAGATGAGAGGCGCTCTTTCAGCGTCGGATGGTGTGTCGTCAATGGCCTTTCTACATGAGCAGCAGCTAGTACTACAGAGGTGCTCTGTGCATTGTCCTGGCAGTGCATATTTGCATTAAACAATGCTCAAGAAATCGTGGTTCTTACGTATGGACATGAAGTAAAGACATATTCCAGCCATGACGTCGCAGCACGAAGTGAGTCCGAGGTCACAGCACATGCCTAGAGCATCAGACATGGTATGAAGAGTAATAAGATTCAAGCTTACCGCTTACTAATTACTACTAGTACTTACATAGACATTGTTTGGCTCTATTGTTCAAAGCCTTTGGAAATAAACACCATTAAACACCGTCAACAAGACAAGGTGTGATATTCTGTCAAGACCGACTGTGACCACCAGTGCAGTCGGCAACATGGAGTCCACCACCCACTTCCGAACACAGAGAGGACGCGCAAACGGTGCCCACCATGACAACGTTGGAACAGGACGAAGAGCGCACCATAAAAACAAGCATTGGGTCGCGGACAATGCCACCAGCAGAAGTAGCACACCTCATGGAGGCGCTGACACCGAGCGATGGGAGCGTGGAGGGCACAGAGGAAGTCGGGGTCGAGGAAGAGGCACCCGTGGCAAATTTCATAATACTACAATGAATTTCCGTCAAGGAGGCGCTCTAGATACTGGGTCAGCTGCTGCCAGCGAAGGGGACAATAGCGAAGTGGAGGATGCCACTGATGTAGATGAAGCCGAACACCAAGAGCCAGATACTCTCGAGGAAAGGGAACGATTCTGGAAAGAGGTGGGCCATATGTTTCTTTCGGTGTATATTACCTTTACTCGAATCTGCAGCTTGTGAAAGCGCGCGAAGTCGAGCGCAAGACAGCCATTGCAGAGGGCAAAATGGACGATCCCAATGTGCCAAAACGACTGGAAGATGCTATCACAATGGTCGGCACATGCATGGATATGTGCCCGAGATTCGAACGCTACCGCCGTGAACGCGAGAACAACCTCTTTGAGTGGGAAATTGTATGAGGACATTTAATTCGTGAGTGTGCTAGATATCTGCGCTGATTACTTGTTAGGTTCCAGGGACCAAACGCGTCGATCACAAGAGAGCTGTCAAAATGTATGAACGGGCAGCTGGTGACAAGACGCTACCCTCCGATCTTCGTCCTCCAAAAGTTCTTCGGGTATGTTGCTCCAATATGGTATTCTATGCACCTATAATTTAATTTAATCTATGGCAGCGCACACTCGACTATCTTTTCCACGACCTGCTTCCCCGAGGCGGTTTTTCTGCAACCTTCAATTTCATTCGTGATCGTTCGCGTGCTGTACGAAGTGACTTTACGATGCAGCATGAAATGGGTTCCATCGCAATTGAGTGCCATGATAGATGTGCACGGTTTCACATCCTTGGTCTTCATCTGGAGCGCGACCGACCCGGATCCCAGGTCAGTCTGGAGGAACAGCAGCTGAAGTACAGTGCGTGGACTCGCCACTTGACGAACTTTCTTTATGATAATTGTGCTTACAGCTCTTCAAAGTCTGAAGGAGTTTTACGAGGACCAGCGAGGAAAATATCAATCACCAACAGAGCTCGAAATGCGAGTCTATCATCGTCTGATCCATATTCGTGATCAAAAAGAGCGGCATGAGGATATCCCTTCCTTTATCCTCGAGCATTCGGTATTCAAGCTCACGACCAAATTCCGGCTCCTCGTACAGGCGAAGAGTGCCCCCATCAGCAGAAGCTCTCCTCTTTCCGTTGATAACGAGGCGCTTTGGGTCTTCAACGAATTGATCATAGTGCTCCAGGGGGAAGGAAACTACGCCATGATATATCTGGTCGCATGCATCATAGAGCACTTATTTGGCACCGACACCGTCGACGATATTGAAAGCCTGCGGGAAAATCTCACCATTTCGGATATCATCGATGGCAGCTCTGCTGTCGTAGATGAGCATTATGACGCTGTTGTCGATGAACCAGACGTTATGCACGAAGAACCAGACGCTATGCACGAAGAAGAGGAGCCACCCTTCGAGGCTAACTTGGTGGATGTGCCACAATCTTCCCCGAAGCCCCCGCAGCGAAGCGGAACCGAGTGGCTTAATGATACATTTGGTCCAAAACCCACTGAATCAGCATTCTTGAACGCTTCTCAACCTGCACCACAATCACCAAAGTCTGCGTTTTCAAATCTGACTTCCGTTCCCAATGTATTCGGGACGACGACATTCCAGACATCAGCATTCGGGTCCACGAACGAGTTTAGTTTTGGCACAGCTGCCGTCCCTACATCAGTATTTGGATCCTCTGCAACTAGGACCTCTATCTTTAGCCAAGCACCCTCTTCGGGTTTGTGTGCAATTTATTTCCGATTTCTTGTTTAATCACATCTTCACTTAGGCCAACCTCCAGTTTTTGATCAACCTCCACCTCCGATCCCAACAGCGCCCAGCGAGAACAAGGTTCAGATTCCATTTACAGTGCCACCAGCGCCTCCTCCCCCTACCTTTAGTAAACCATTACCCCCTTCCCCAAAACTTTCTTCGGTACCCGAAGTCAACAAGGCTGCGTCATCTATACAACCTCTTAATCCTCGTGCACCAGTATTTGCTCCATCGCTTTCTCCGATTGTTACACAACCTACACCCTCATACCAACCTCCAGTTCCTCCGTCTCCCGTCGCTTCACAACCAACTTTCGGTGTTCCCTGTGATTCTTTCGGCAGCTTAGATGAAACACCACCTTCTCAACCGCCACCTTTGAGTAGACAGCAGCCAATATCTTTACCGTCAACACCTACTGCGCCGATATATATCCCTTCGACCATCTCTGGCACATCCACCAAGTCCGTTTTCGGGTCTCTCAAAAAACTTCAACCTACTTCGCTTGCTGCTTCCCCTACTGAAATTCTGAGCCCACTGGTACTTTCGTCGCCCGGGACAAGATCAACACTTGGTTCTATGGCCAATTTACACCGACGTGACTCCGTCCAGACTCCCTTGCGTTCAGGAATAACCGCTACTGATCTTGAGACAGTTTTAACTAAACTGGAAAGCCCACTCAACGGCAAGGCATCGGCTTCGTCGCCCACCAGCAACGTGGACCAAGAAACGCTCGAATCCAAAGCTTTTGCATTTGCTCGAAGGAGCTTGGTAATCAAGGAGGCCTTCCATGAATGGAGGGAAGGAACCGCTAATCGTACCAAGTGGAAGGAGGCTTGTCTCCGAAGCGAGGCCTATAGTCAGCGCGTACACACGGAGCGACTTTCGAAGAGTACTAGCTCATTGCCACAAGAGAACAAGCGCAAAGTAGTTACGCCAGAACGACCCAGCCCCGTTAGGAAGCGGCTCAGGAATCGCTTGTCCAGCGAATACCAGCCACCGGCCAGCGATGAAGAACTTGTGAAGCGGTTCGAAAAGGTCGGTACATCGTCCGTATTAAGTGTGCCACACCTTTTGAATGCATTGTAATCTTAGAATCGTGAAGAAAACGAACGGCGCTGGGCTCGTGGATCTTTCCTCCATGCGCTGCAGCAACACCTGAAGGCCACGTCACGCACCATTCCAGAAAGTTGGTCTGCCTGGCTGTCCTTGAACCAGGATAATGATGGGACTGCCATTTGGCTTGAGCTGAAATTCGATGTACCGGACTCTGGCAGCTGGAAGGACGCCAATGTATTCCAAATACCAGTGGTGCCGCAGCCACACAACAACAGAGCATTATACCCGGGTATCATCATTTTCGAGCGAACCCCGGTTGGTGAGGTTGAAGACCCTCTCGAAAGGTTAGCTGTGATGAGCTGCTTGCTACGAGTTACTAACTTATGCATGGTAGAAAATATCGAATGCTGGATGATTGCTCACGTTTACGAGATATTATCGAGTCGTTACCTCCTGATCGACATTTCATTCCATCTCTCTTGACGATATCTTGGCCTGGCGGGGAGCCCGACTCTTCTTCCGATTTTAGTGATATGGTACACTCAATGTTGTTCTGAAAATCGAGTAACGGCTGAACATTTTGAAGATTGCTGCAATACTGCACGATGAAATCGCGTCTTCCCATGTTGATCTATCATTGACATCTACTGCCTTGGACCTTGACTCTAGGTTTCAGTCCGCCTTGCAGTCAGTTAAAGTTGATACTGAAGGCAAACTCGTGCGGTGGATGTCTGTACTAGGTATGTTGTTGGGGTTTACGATATACTTTTCAAAGTTTGGCATCTAATTTTGGGACAGACCTCTTCACGCAGTGGAAACCCATATGGCAGACATTTACTTCCCAGCGATTAGAGCAATCCACAATCAATGGGGAATGTAAGTAAATATCGGTGCTGCTGAATGCTCAGTACTGACGACGATTACCAGTTGACTGGGGTTTCCTTGGGAGATTCCTAGAGTTGTGTATAGAGCTTCTCAACACCATCTCTGGTGCTGCGCTTCAACTGATGGGTGGCAGTATCTTTGGAGATGTTGATGTTCTGCCCAACCTGGAGCTGCAACACGTCAGAGACTCAGAGTACATCATGTTTCCTTCCCGCACCTTTCTCTTGCTTATCACCCAACAGCTCAATGTTTGATGCGGTTTTCCAATGGCTGGACAATCCATCGTTGCAAGATCCCGGTAGACATCTCGCAGGTGATCTGAGATCGCACCAGGCCCTTGACCGAGGTATGCTATCTCCGCATGGATTGTGTGCGCAGCTCAAACTTGTTCACTGTAGAATTTCCCTCGATGTCCTTTGTTCAATATATATATGACGTCGCTCAGGTGTCGTCGACTCAACGCTTCAGCCCCAAAGCTGTAAACCCCATCCTCATACGGAAGACCCGTCTCGATGCAGTGACATTGAAAATATCAACTGAGCAGGGTTCTTACTCGGATGAGCTCAATGCTCTTCATTCCGTGAAGCTGCGACAGACATGTAAACGTACTGCATCAATTAATGCGTCATCCAGCCGGTCCGTCGTTGATGATAAAAATGTCCTAACTTGACTGACTGTCATCTCACAGGTTTTCCACCCCTGCCAAGCGGAGGAGATTATCCGCCTCTGATGAATCTAGCGACGGTGGAAGTCCTCCATTGAGCATCGCTAGTCCTGCCTACACATCGCCCTCGATCAGCATCACCACATCTTTACCTCCTGAGGATAAGTCCACAGTGGTCACATCCGCTATGCTTCGTGCTCTTACTAGGGATATACGGACCAAGTTTGGCAGTCCCAAATGACAGACATAATAGTCCTTTATAAATGATGTTATTGCATATCTCTGTATTACTTATCACTATATGTTCCTTCGCATCAATCAGCAAGGTTCTCGTGGGGAATCTTATTGTTCAACAAGTAATCAGTACAAAAAACTACAATAATGTACAGCGTACGAAGGAAAATACAACAAGGATCCTACAACATGAACAGTGGTGGTACAAACCAAGAACCAATTATGCATTTTAGCAACTGTAATACGCGAATTCTTCTGAAATTTACGAAAAGGCGAGCGCAGACCAAGTAGCAACTGCACCAACTGCCATGGCCGTGGCGGTGTGCGCGATGGATGACATTATCCTCCTGGGCCGTTTGGCATGTCTGTAATCTTCGACTGGTGATTCAGGTTTCGCAGCCATCGTTGGGGCTTCTTCCACAATCAATATCCATCTTGACTGGAGGAGCAACCTCAATTTCAACCTCAGAGCGCTTGCGTTTGAGCGATTTGAAAGTCGATTTGAAAGTCTGCAAGAGTATGAGAGCGAGAAGGACATCGTTAAAAAGTGGCTTACCTCTACTTCTGCAGCGATGACAGACAGCGCCTCCGTCCTGGCGATCTGGATTGTCTGAATCCTCTCCTCCACACGTTTTTCAGTCTCCTCGCGTAAGGTCTTCATTTCTGCGGCATTTGATCAGACGGACGAAACAGTGACGAGGACATCACTACTAACCAATGACGAGGGCATTGAGAGCGTCGGCACAAGCCTTGACATCTGCAATGGGCGACGCGAAGTTGTCACAGCATTCTGCGTCAGCCTTGGATTGCAACTCAGAGACTTGATCCTGTAGGTCTGACAAAGTAGATAGCTTGTCTTCTGCGGCCTCCAAGCGTGCAAAAAGTTGGTCAGATTCAGGCTCGAGCATATCAACTTGATGCTGAAGGTCGTAGAGGTCGTCCTCTGTCAAAGCGTGGCGATTCTTGATGTCAGTAACGCTGGAATGCAGCGCATTTACTCGACCCTGGGTAGGTAAAGTTGAGATATAAGGTGATGAAAACCCCAGGACATATACTTGCCTCGATAGTCTTTATGGAATCGCGCAGATCTCCATGGTCGTCATGGCCGGAACCTTGGGATTCATCCGGCCGCACCTCGGTAATGGAAGGAAGAACAGGAATGGGTGCCAGGATGGCCGGTTCATCCTCCAGCGGCACAAACGGCGGAAAACTAGAAAGCGAAGGGAGCCGTTCTGGAAAGCTCTCAAAAGATCCCGACTCGAGGGATCCCATGTGCCCAAATGAGCACATCGATGGAAGTTTGACTCTGTTCGATTCATCCGACCGACGTGAAGCGGACTGCAGGGAGTCAGCCCGGGACGGTGGCCATGCGCCAACGACTTCCGGCTCCGAGGGGGCCTGAGGGGGCGATGGAGATGGCGTGGAGAGCTCCATGGGAGAGTGAGACCGCAAATCTTCAAGGTGGACAATGGACGAAGGCGCATCATCGTCATCAATGGACGCAATGGCTGCAATGGCCGGTGGGGACCAAGGAGGAGAATCTATGTCATCAATGGACGCAATGGCTGCAATGGCCGGTGGAGACCAAGGTTGAGGAGAATCTATGTCAAGTGGGTCCGCGATTTTATGGCATATATCCTGCATCAACGACCCGAGTGATGGCATCTTTCCGAGTAATGAACCACCCAGAAAGTCTGTAGGGAAATCTTGGCGCAGGGATGAGACACAGGAACGAAGTTCTTCCCAGGACGGTATCTCTTCTATATCAGATTCATGCTCCGAATGCGAAGCAGCCTCATTGGATGAGCCTGATGGAGATGAAAGGGACTCTGAAGAATGAGATGGGGAAGAAGTATATGAAATGGGACTGTTAAGGCCATAGCGCCCGGTGCTTAATTTTCGTGGGCGAGGACTTGAGGGTTCGGCAGGGGTAATACGCCACGGAGGCGAGTCGCGCATATCCAAAATATCGCGCAAAAATTCGATGCGAACTGTGACCGGCGAAACGAGGGTAGCGCCTTGCCCCACAGCTTTACCAAACGTCACGATATCGCCATCAGCAAGGGTAGTCTCCGCTTCAGGCTGTAACATCTTAGATGTTGTCTCGCCTTGCTTCTGCAAATGAGTTCCGTGACGGGACTTGAGATCAACAATATACACCTGGGGCAGGTTGTCAGGTGCAAGTCCGATGTGACAGAATCAGCATGTGCCTACGTGGCCGCTGGAGGCCAACACAAGTTTGGCGTGCTTTGCACTGACTACGGGGCATGCAAACACAGCATTCTGATCGTCGTTCTCTTTCCTCATTGACCTATCATCTGAGATTGATTTGCGACCGATGTGAACATGGGAGGTGCGGGTGTTGAAGAAGGAAACATTATGAGCGGGCTTTCCACCGCACGACTCGACGTGCAGAGTGACACCTTGGTAATAATATGTCTAGGAGGTGTTGTTCAAGCAAATAACGATGGTGCTTACCTGTCACCGGTTGCTGTGGATCACAGGGGCAAGCAGCTAGCTGAGCAAAATTGGTACCCAAATACTCGACTTCGTCATCCATGATGAGGTCGATTACAGTGTGAAGCAAAAAATTGGAAATATGGAGGAGAAGGGAGCGGTCTGTGCGTTGGTGGCGGTAGGAATGAGAGCGAGTGGGGGGGACTTGGTGCTGTCCTCAAGGCCGTGCTTTATCGCCTTGACGTTAATAATACCGGACCGAGATATCCTTTTCGAGATACCTGTCCGGATTCCCACCGAGAGCCTTCCGAACGATGCACATACTATCACATTCGACGTATTTTAGGCTACTCTTACTGTGATACGAAACATAGAGACAAGGGTGGACGACAGCCTGAAGGGTAACAAGGAAGTGGAATATATCAATTATGTATGCGATCTACTCAGATGCGAAGAACTTGTCATGACGGTGTGTAGTGCGCGAAGTAAGGGTGATTGAGAGCGCGTTTTGCTGAAAGTGTAGTGAGAAATGATAAAAATGAGCAAGCTTGCTGCACACATACCAGAAATCCGTTTTGCTGTGTCGTATGTCAAAGTGTGCTACGAAAAAAACATGTGAGCACCAGTCAAAGGTCAACGGAAATATATAAACGGAAATGCGGTAGTACGATGAATAATAAATCAACAAGATGACATACCGCAAGCAGGTCCAAACCTTGTTCATCAAGATTAGGTACGACACTCTTGAGCTCCTGCTTCGACCATCGAGGGAATGTATCCTTGTAATCAGGCAATTGAGTCACGCCCGGCCAAGTCTCTTCGCTTGGAGTGCCGAGGATCCTGGATCAAACAGTCAATTGTCAGTTGTTCCGTTAGGCCAATCTGATTGTGCAGGGTGTTACCTGAAGATCTTGAAGATCTGGTCAATCTCAGAGTCGCCAGGAAACAGAGGACTCCCACGCATCACCATCTCAGCAAAGATGCACCCAACAGACCACATGTCAATAGCTGTCGAGTAGTGGCGAGATCCAAGTAATACTTCAGGCGCGCGGTACCACAACGTCACCACCTAGAATGACAGCACAAACGCTCAGCTTAGGATGCCACACGTAAGAAGGAAAATTCAGGGGTGCTCATTACCTCGTGGGTATATGTCCTCATCGGAATGCCAAAAGCTCTCGCGAGACCAAAATCTGCGAGTTTGAGATTGTTTTTCTTGTCGATAAGGAGATTTTGAGGCTTCAGGTCGCGATGCAAGATTCTGTGCGAATGACAGTACAAAAGGCCAGCATTGAGCTGATGAGTAAAACGCTGTAATGTGATAGGAACACGGTTAGTCAAATAGCCGAATCACGTGACGATCGCTTCGCGTCCCCCGCCCCAACATCACATCATATCCCCTATCACAATCAATGTGACGATGCCAATCTGAAAATGTACAGTGGAATTAAAGCTAAATGTACAAAAATAGCATGGGCCAAGCATTCCGGTGCCTGGCTAGCGAAAACGCGCAGCAGCTGTTTGACGCCTTTGGATCAAACTACGCGCCGAAGCGCGAAGCACGCGTCCACCACGCGTCAGGAATCGTAAATGATGGGCAGGGGACCAATAAGGAGCGATTTTAAATGCCAAGCCAGCTCACCTTGACTATGCCGATGGGAATGGGCGTACCGGATGTGTTGGCGTTCTCCATATAGCGCTTCAAGTCAACATCCAGGAATTCAAATACGAGATAAAGCTTCTGTTCAGCGTGCACGATATCAAGCAGTCTAACACAGACATTTAGCCACGAAGAGCGGTTAACACAGTTTAGGACGTAATACCTAACGATATTGTCATCCTTGAGTTCCTTCAGCAGACTGATTTCTCGGATGGCAGTACTCGGGACTCCTTCATCCTCTGCTTCGAGTCGAATTTTCTTAAGGGCTACAATCTGATTCGTTGTAACGTCCCGCGCTTTATAAACAACTCCATATGTGCCTGAATGTGCGTTAGCGATAAACAACGAAAGTGGGTGGAGTGTGACTGCACCTTCTCCTACAACGTGCGCCACACCAGTTCATTGTAGTCTGATGTGAACGCACAACAGGCACGCACCAACTTTCTCTATTTTTGCGTAGCTACAATTCAGTAAAATCAATTGATTTTGTCAACCATTGAGCGAGAAACGAGGTGCGCACCGATCCATGTGTCAAAAGAGCGCACAATCTGTAATATGCGGCTTAACTGTGAAAAGCGAGTATCGGTATCAATGAAAAGGCTATCGCGTGGATGAGAGGGAAATGGTGTCTACAGGTTAATCTAGATGAAACCTGGCGGGTAATACGGAAATCAAGTAAAGGCGAGCTCGCCGACTTGTCGTTATAATTTGAGGGTTGGCGAGATTTAAGATGTTTGCCGCTCGTAGCTAACCCTCAGAGAGAGGCGTGACAGTGGAATGAAGTGGAGATACGCGCCAGGGATATGCACCTGGTCAAGGTCATATAAAGAGCCCTTCGGCAAAATGCGACCACGGACGCCACTGCTGTCACTCTCACCGAAACAACCGTCTTATTCCCTGCTTGACAATATTGATGTAAGTACTACACATCCATCGACCTAGTGGGTCCTCAGGCCTCAGGGTTCACTTCCGAATTTTACTATCCTTCGTACGCTATGAATGCGCTCACACTTTTTCCGCCGCTCACTGCACACTGGCAGAAACGGTATGTCCAAAGGAGCCCCGTCGGACCGGAGCTTTCGAGGTGGCTAGAATAATATCAGCAAGCATTCATACTGTCTGCCACTTGGTTGTCAAGGCTTAACAATAGAGTCACCTTCCCATGAACTCAGATTTTGCCTGTGAAACCATTGTCATCGCTTCATTCCAGCGCTATGACGTTCATGGTAAGCGCAGGGCACCATTTAATTTATCAATGCTCTCGCCACGTAGACTCCATTCACCGTTGGAATCACTCGGTGGAGAAACAATACATTAAAGAAGAGGCGTTTAAGTTATAAACGAGAGCAAAGATGAGCAATATGACAATTGTCACAAGATATCATCATCCCGAGCGACAAATCAATCGAAGATGATGAGCCATCGTGTCATCACACGAATCTTTGATCTTGCCCGTCGTAATATCAGTTGACACGTTAATATTTGATAACTCTTATCAGTGCTGTGCACTTGAAATTGACAGTACTATTAATCTAAATATTACAGGGTTCTCCTTACGAATGGTACCAGAGTACATCATGTGTTATGTAACGTTGAATTTGAAACGTGCATCCAATGATGAATTTCATCCCGGGTTTGGCCAATTTATATTCTCACTTTGTCGTCGCATACGTGTGACGTCAATGTATTGTCCAGGGTACGGTTCTTCACCTAGTAAAAATGTTTCAGAAGACGAAGGAAAAGACTGGCGAGCCACTCACTCCGATCGATGAGGTTGACTTCCAGTTCTTCGTCATCATCGTCATCCTCCTCGTCTGACGCCCAGCGGTCTTCTGCGGCTGCCCTGGGATTTGCGGCACGATCAACGGCAAGGTCTTTCATGAGGCGATTTACTGAGTCCTGTTTTACATCCTGCAACGATTTTTCCCGTGCCGCGCGGGTGCGTTCGAGTTCTGGAAGATATTCACTGCGGAGACGGCAAGAAAGTAAGGAGAAAAGTAATAACAATAAAGATAAAACGTACGTCCTATATGTCTCACGAGACTCCTCCACCGCATCGAAAAATTCCTTGATGCCGGCGCCTGTCGTACTTGAGACGCCGACAGCCTGTAATACAGTCAGCTATACTTTCTACAGAATGACGTATTATAATTACCTTGAGGTGCTTGTAAAACTCATCCAATACCAGACTCATGCTATTCATCAAGCTGTTCATATAGGTTGGTTCACCTTCAGAGTCCCTCGATCCTGAATGGGACGCAAGAGCGACTTGGAATGACTCGAAATCTTGCATCCATTCGAGAGCGAAATCGTGGGGTTGCGCGTCAGTCTTGTTAAAGACAAGGATGAATGGTAATTTTGTCTTATACATGACACTAACAAATCGTCACGGATTATTGAACCGCTAGATGATGCAGTACTCACCTGCAGGCATACAGCATGTTGGACATGAATGTCGCGGGAGCTGTCGTCCGTGGGGTGTCGATGATGTACGCTACCACAGTGGGAAACGAGGAAGCAACGGCATCTGTGATAATGGCACCAGATGCTGACCAGGTAAATATCTCAATTTGCCCCGGAGTGTCGAGAATTATGTGACTGACGTGGGTGCACGAGAAGAAGTAAGAATGAATGCAGAATAAATAAAAATAACAAGCACGTACTCGACTGTCTCGGCCCTTTTCTCGACCAAGTCCATAACCTGGTCAAATTTCGTGGTAAAAAGATTCAAGGCGGTCAAAATACCACCGTTCGGTCCCAGGTTATACCTTGTGTTACGATGATCCATTCCGTTATTCATGCACTACTGCCCAGATGGAAACAGCAACACACTGTTTCATGACCTCTTTGTAATTTACAGTATCCCGGATATCAATGTTGGCTTCGAATGGCAGATGGGTAACCGCTGGGTCGAGGTTTAGGATGTATGGGGGTTGTGGAGGATTTTGCGAGTGGAGGTAGGAGTTGATGCGCTGCACGAAGGTGGACTTGCCAGCCCCTGCCATCCCGATCGTGATGATGACATGTGGTTTTCTTGTCGAACTTACGTCCGGTTGACTGCTCGAAGATGCGCTCATGCTGGTGAAAGGGGAGTCTTCCTAGGTAGATTAAATCGAATGAAGACAGAAGCTACTTGAAAAGGATCTATTGTAATCAAATCGTTATTGCAACCTATGTACATCATGATATGATAAGCCGGGGTCCCGGGGTGCATTGATGGTGTAGCGGTAACATGCGGTCTTCCCAAGCGGTGTGGCCGCGCTCCGAGTTCGACTCTCGGTCAATGCAGGATGGGGAGCCTAGCCCATTTTTACAGAAGTCGACCCGCAGCTGTACTGCAGTGCAGTACTTGTCATACAGACACAATCTGCTACACCCCGACTACTGAGAACCCTTTGAATCAATTTTACGCCAGGATGAAGGTCTCGCGGTTATTAGGCAAGCGGAGTCCCCCAGCTCCATGCTCGGGGGACCCGGACAAGTTTTATTGCAATCCGAGAGACAGAAAGTACATGATAAGGCAGCATAAAGCAACGAAGATGCGAGACTCGAGGATGCGTGCTTGTGAAATAAGACATGAGTGACGGGGGCACGATAGACATACTAAAGGGCTAGAAGTTTTTTAAAAAAATATAGTGTTGTATATTGATTTTGTGGTCATGGCGCCAGTGAGGACGTGAAAGATGTCGAGAGAGTTGTCTGAACCATACTGAGGAAACAGAAAAGGAGCCGAGAAATATGCAAGCCAGTCAAGAGACGCTGCGTGAGCCAAAAGAAGCCGTTGTGTCCGAGTTTGGTGGCGCGCGAGCTGAGCCGTAAAGTAGAGCATTTAGTATATAAGAACGCATGTTGGCGTATATACTTTTGGAATTCATCAGAGGACCACCGACCTGCTGCCTGAATGATATTTGGGGTCATTCTCGCGATAGCGAGGGCTGTTGCACCTCCAGCTCTCATTGAATGACCTGACATTACAGCCCCACAATGCTCAAGCATGGGAGGAACCAACTTCTAGTTGGTATGGAGTCGTCGCTCGTCATTGTGTAGGACATAGAGTTAGCAGTAATGGTGAGGGTATGTACCATCGTAAATGCACCTTTCTTATGTCTGATGCTTCACGGCGTCGGGCCATGTAGGTTCCCCGAGCCGTTGCAGAGATAGAAAGCCAGTGAATAGCAAGGCTAAGAAAATGTTGTCGTCGTGTCCTGGTGAATCGAAATCCTATCCAGATTGAAAGGAGCCTCTAGGGTGACACTGAGTCATAAGGATAAAATTTCGACCAGCGTCGCGAATCGATTCAACTTGCATAAACAAAGTTTAACGTTTAACCCCGATTAAACCCCCCTCCGAGACAGACCGCCTCGACACAAAATACGACAAACGAGTAGCTCCGGCTGGCACGCAGAAAGTTCTCTGCACAGCGAGATACATATGAAAGCTCTCAGCAGACTCGGAGTCTCAGGCTGGAGCGACTCGTTGTCGGTCCTCGGAAGAACATTTCACAGGCTTGTCGCGGTTCTTAAGTAAGTTGGTCTGACTAAGGGCGGTAGGGGTCCTGATCACGAGCGATTTAATCATTTGAAGGTCTGAGCTTCGACTTCCATGGCTGAGGAGATTGCGATGTGGGACTTGCCCAAACTAAGTCAAAGAAGCAGTTACGGTAAAGAACAACGCCCCTGCGACACACAAAAGCCTTGCAGCTATGGTGAGTAACAGTTGCTGCAGGGAAGACTTTAGATATTCTAATTATGTAAACGTTGTGAACTTCGTTACATTCCTGCATTTCCGACTTTGAACTCCGCAGACAGCCACACGCTCATGTTTTACAAGCAACTTGCAAGTTTCTTTAATTTCATCGGGATCGTTACTAGTGACCAATTGACTGTGCAGCATCGTGCCAATGCGACATCATTCTGGTGATCATTTGCATGTGATCTGGCAGATTCTTCCTCATGAGGGGGAGATGACAATCCCATTCCTATACTGTCTTCTCTATTGTTCTGCTAAGACCGGCCAAGTACATTTTCGGATCTCCACATGCTGCTAAAACCATAACTACTGACATGGCTTGTCCGAGAAGCCGAGCGATGTCTGGTTAGCTCAGGAGTCAAAATGGCCCTGTACAAAAGACAGAGCCGGCCACGCAATATTGAGTCATTTCGTTCCCTGATCTGACCTGAGATACAATATGATGCTGTTGACTGTCGCAGTTCTTACTCTCTTTGCGTCCTTCCTCAGCGTTGCAGTGGGTGTTCCAAACCGCCATGCTGCAAAGCTTGCTATACGTGGACGAGCCGGATTTGGCATTGTACGGCTTCCCCGAGAAGCTCAATGCGCTATTTGTCCAGAAGACATAAAGATAGATGGCGGTACTGCAACGCTTGTCTTTGACCAGGGGTCAACCGACGAGATCACTATGTGCACGTGAGTTTGCATACATTTAGCTGCGCGCATATATTCATCGTGTGTGTAGCTATGAGGAGAGCTCCAGCACGGAGATCGTATGTCCCTATGTAACGGTTAGTACAATCCACGGGATGTGAGATTTGCTAACAGGTGTTTGGAACACCGTGACAGGACACCGGAGAGTTGAATGGCACGGTCGAGTACTGTCCACAAACAGTTGCTCTTGGTGATTGTGTCAACAGTTAAGCATGTGTCGAGTCACGCAGTCATCAATATCATATATGCGCCTCGGAACCACAAAATCGGTTCGTGGTAGGGCGTCGTCATGCAGGCACCGATAATGGCTACAGGATAGCCTTTCACACTATTGTATAGCATTGCTGTTGGGTACGATCTAGTTCCAGCTAGGTAGTTTTCATATTCGCCATTGAACCGCATTGATACACAATCATGATGAAACGCATGGATTAAACTATAGGTATACCTAAACATGGGTATACATTGGTGTAGAACAAGAAACTGTGATGTAGAGCGAAACAGGCTGAAAGAAACAGGCCTAGTACGCGCCTTCTGGATCTAGGTGCTTGCCCAGTTGACCCAAGAGACGCTTGCGAATTTTGACCTGCATGGACAGTCAAAGCCCCCCCACCAAGGGTATTGGTAGTAGACAAATCAATTGGCATTGGTGACAGTGCGGGAATTATTACAGTAGCTCAAGTCGTCAGAGACACGTACCTGTCCTCATCGGAAGCTGGGAGGTGTCTATTTCTCTTATCCACATCCGCAGAACCAGTAGCCTTCGAAAGTGTCTCCGAGTCCACCGAAGAGTGTGAGAGACCCGCCCTAACACGGTTGTCGTCGTGCAAAACCGTGTTCATTATCGGAGGAGTGGAGTGGTGGGTGTAGCGACTGCGATATGGGCTAAACCAGCCAAGTCAGAAGCAATGCTAAGCAATTCTTGTCCTTGCTGCTGTTCGGGCCCGCAGCGTCGACTCGACAGTTCAGACCTTGATGAGATGTACTGACGTCGACGATCACATTCTCCGCATCACTTAGATGACCGGGAACATACAGGGAGTTTGTCAAAAGAACGAGGATAATCATTCCTGCACGAATAGAATCAAATAAGAGTTTGGAGACCTCAGACAGAAATGTTGATGTGGCTTTGTTTTGTCTCCGACATTCACAATGCGTGACTTAAACTTTGCTTGTGCTTGCTTCAGTTGAGTGAATGAGCTCGCGAGGTGGTTTAACTCCTACAACGCAATCAGATATGCAGAAAAACAACCATATAATCGATGTACCTCTTCTAGCTGACAGCGCAAATCAGATGACTATTCAATATTCAAGGTCGAGATCGGCAACATTGATTTGTTGAGGTTGCGATGAAATTGTTGAAGCCACCGCGGACTCGGAGGATCGAGCGTGGCTGGAATATGACCAGCCCTTCAGCGCATTGGAGTGACTTGTTGCCGTGGACTCGATTTCGTGGTGGGGAATGATGACAGTGTACCGCACAGTGGCAGTGCAATAACTCCAACTTGAAACTTATTGACGCAATGGTCGGCGGTGGCAAGGAATCTGGCGGGACTCGTAGAAGATCTGCGCAGACATCATGATGGTCTCCGGTAGACCGTGACATACCTCAGAAGAAGGAAGACTCTCATTACTTCTTCTCAGTTGAAGCTGAGCCTGAGGCTGAAGTAACCGAGGAGGTACTGGCAGAGCCACAGCGCTGCACCCTGCTGTACCCAGGAACCAGCGATGACATGGACAGGCGCGCACATGCATGTTCAAAGATCCCCAAGCATTAATGATTATACCCCCAAATTCACCTCTCCCGCAGATTCACAATTTGCGCCTTGCTTATAAACCCAGTGTTTCGCTCAAAATTCCAGACATCTTTCTCGATAGTTCATACTTCACTGATAGAGTCACAGAGCAGTATCTTGGCAGTATCACTGCCGTATGGCTGGTACTAGCAAAGATCTACATTTGCGAAATGTTGAGCGCCCTGGTGCTGACTACTTATAGCGCCAATGCACTGTCTTAGGCTGTTCGCTTCCGCGTATGGTCCAGGGTATCACTCATTTCTGTTTGCTCACCTCAGACTCTTCCCAATCCTTTGCTCCATCACTAAAGCAAATTGGTTACATCGTACTCATGTCAAGAACATCAATTACCTCCAAACGCAGCCGAAGACTATCACAAGAGGGTAGCACGGATGGCGCCTATGATCAGAGCGCCCGCCTTGACGATCACCCTCCCCCACAAAACGATACCGTACGACTTGCCGACGAGTAAGTTGCGACTTCTTGGAATCATCTTGGTACCCCCATTTGACAGCAATACAGCCAGGAGGAAAAATCCGGACCTTCGGTGGTGCAGCTGTTATCAGGAATGTGAGTATTTCTGCCCCGATGCTTTTGCGCCCTCCTTACACGGATTGCAGCTCGAACTCTGGGCTTCCCAAAACACTGGAGCCTTGTGATACTTCCAATGATTCCCCCAACGGCAGCTTAGCTGCGTATATAAGTTCAACTCGGTCACAAAGTCCAACACACTCATATCGTCTCAACGAGGCCCAAAACGAAGTGCAGGAGGACCAACCAAGTCCAAGTGAAATGTGAGCGGCCAATAAGCTAAGAGGTCACGACTGACGATACTATTCCTGCAGAGTGAAAGTCCTGCAGCAAGTGTTGGACGTTCTCAAGGACTCAACAATTGCCTCGAAGACCGGCAAGGACGACCGCTCTCGTTTCTGGGCGGCATACAAAAGAGTCGCCGAGGAACATGACGACGAGTTCCTTGAGCGATACAACGGCGACATGGACATTGTGTTAATCTTCGTGAGTTTCGTATACTCGCCTTTACCTTGTGTTGGGATTGACGTTCGGTCAGTCTGGTCTGTTCTCCGCCGTCAGCACGGCTTTTATCGTGGCTATGGAGTCGAATCTCAGTCCAGACTCCGACGACACCACACATGCCCTTCTCACCCAGCTCGTCCAAATCGGACTCGGCAACTTCACTGCAGCGGGGCCTACACCAGCAACGCCAGCGTCTAACTGGTCGCCGTCCACAGCCAATATAAGGATCCAATTGATCGCATACGCAAGCTTGTCCATGAGTTTGCTTGCTGCGTTTGGTGCCGTGCTAGGCAAGCAGTGGCTTGGGTACTACAAATCACACAGATACAGCCGCGGCTCGGAGGAGGAACGAGGGAAGCGCAGACAAGAGAAATTCGATGGCATCGTTACATGGCATTTTGATGCCGTCGTACAGTCGTTTCCGATTTTACTCCAGATCTCCCTTCTTTTATTTGGGATCGCCCTCAGCGCCAACATGTGGTACCGGCAGTACACTATAGCCTGGGTCATTATTGCAACAACGGTTTTCGGATTTTTGTTCTATTCGTTGACTGTGATGGTAGCTTTGGTATCTCCCGCCTGTCCATTTCAGACACCGACATCGACGATATTGCGCATGTTGCACATCGACAATAAGATCATCATCTGAGTTCTGGCGGTCATTTGAGTTCTGAGTCAAAATCGCAGGAGTTCTACGCCCAATGTTCAATTTGTTCTCCCGGCATCTTCAGCAGTTGGTGATGCTGGTGCACAGTAAGTTTCGTTTTCTTACGTCTACATAATTTTGACTGTTTCTTGTTAGGTGTGCCCCAACGGCGGTTTGGTACCCTCAGTACAAGATTATTAAAAGCACTGGCAGGTGACGTTCTTTGCTACTATTGCATAGCATACAGCACTCATTCCACTCCAGACTCTGTGCTTGTGATCGGCTCATCCGCATGGCGCTTTCTTCAGCAATCATTCGGCGCCCTTCATCACCTTCTACGTTTGCTGTGTTCTTTCCTTCCGCGCTCTCCGACAAATGTTGTGGACTCTGAAGCACAACCCCGTGACCAGAACCTGGATGTCGTAACCAAGAATCAATGCCCCCTTAACCTTGAGCTACCAGACACACCTACCTGCGGTCTCGAAGCTCCTAGCATCAAGTGGCTTCTGGAGACATCTACGGATCCTGAAGTATTTTTCGTCACTGCTGGCCTTGTTCCGCAGGTCCAATGGCCTCTGGATCTTGACGTCTCCGACACCCTGCGTCAGCTGTGTGATATTTACACAAGCTGCTTCGACGTGCATGGGGAGATTGTGCCCTCGTTGACGGAGAAGGCATTGTCATCTACGATGGCTCTGAGTCACTTATACTGCGGACGCGTGCTTCAGGCATATCCAAGCCGTGGTGAATATCTTGGCCAAAGGAGAGACGACTTTACAGTGTTTTATGAAATGTTGTCCAGGCAGGATGCACAAGCCTACGAGCTTGCCCTGACAACCAAACTTTCTTTTTCTCCTAGGATACGTGCATTTCCTTCAGGGTTGGAAGATTGCCCTGATTCCGTCCCCGAGTGGCTTTCACATATTCTTCCTTACCACTTTGTTACTGGGCAAGTGGACAAAGACGTCGAAACACTTGCCATGACAGTCGTATCAAAGCTGCTATGCTCTCCATACTCTCCATCGCCTCAAATCATAGCCATTGCACTCTTCTTGCTTGCATCATGGTCGGCGGTCAGTTTGACAAGAAGGACATAGTTCGAATTGATAAAAGGTGCTATCGAATTATTTAATGTTTCTTCCGATATGCTTAACGAACGGCTTACGTAGTTCTGCTCTTCGTCAACTCGGCCCATCTCTTTTGGCGCAGTTTCGACAAACACTCTGGACATGCGATGGAGGCAGACATAGCACAGGAGTTGCACGCCGAGCATGGAACCTCCTCCATGTCATTTGTCGCATGCTTGAGCTTGCCCGAGCTGATGTACCTTCATTCCAAGAGGCGTTTAGGCAGAATTTGGACATGTGCAGGAAGACTTTTTTACAAGCGAGGTCGTCCGAACAGAATGATCCCTCGGGTCCAATGGCACCTTTGCGGCACATGCTGCGCTTCACGCTCACTACTGCCTGCCCATCTTTTGACCCTAACCCCTTGTGGATTGAGGTTTGGTGGACAGGAAACTCCTCACCAGAAGACTTTAACTGGCTAGTAGACTACCTCAACGATGTTTATTCCAACGACTACGAGATAGCAGGTGACATCCTTGTACTACTGAGTAGTATGAGAGTGAGCTGCAGCCCCGCTAAACAACATCTGTTCATCAAGATCCTCATTGCCTGTATGGACAGCAGCATGCCTTATCGTTTACGCCATGCTGCCATTCGCGCTGCTCACAGTTCCTGTGAAATCTTGGCCTCCATCGATGCCGTTGATTATGGAGATATGGTTTTAGCCAAGCTCTCCCCTGCTATCCTGTCCGCGGTTTTTCCACGACCAGGTGCAACATCCGGCGATGAAGATCCTGACCGGCCCTTCAATATTAAGCGCGATTCGTGCTATCTCGAATTGGTCTTTGCCCTCGCGAGGAATCCAAACTGGCGCCCCCATTTATTTGAGGCTCGCCACATCGATCGGTGCATTAGTATGATCCCAAAGTGCTGTAACATATTCATGCCGCAGGCGTTCTATCTAGCTGGTATCTTCCTCCGAGTCATACCTGAACAATCGTCGGTTACATCGCTCGATTCTATCACAGAGCAGCAATGGTGGGATGTGATATGCATGGCATGGCCGCATGCTTCCTCCATAATCGAGGATGACATGCACTGTTTTGAGTCCCTTCCCGTTCTTGTGGAAGGCACAAAAAACTATATACACATCGCTTCAAAACCTAGTCTCAAGTGGCTCATGAGAGATGTGGATAGTGTTCTTAACACGTTGAGGAGACGTTATTCAGAGCAGGGAGAGGAGGTCGCCGCCGGTGTGAAGGAGTTGAGAGGTGTAGCCAATGGCATGTTTCTGAAGTACAGTCAATAATTATTGAGCAGGAAACATTTAATTAGTCTGTTGGTTATCGCAGTGTTTGCATTTCCTGGGATCAGGGCAGCGCGAGTGTAAAAGGGAGACGAGATGTGAATTATCAAGACCTAAACAAACTCAATAACTTGATGGACGAATATGAAGTCCAAGAGGTGTGCAATAAACTCGGGACACCAGCACCTGCGAAGGATCAGTGTGCTTGGGCGCCCGAGTCATCCAACTATCCAGACCATGGAGAACTGGATCGATTTTCTAAGTGATACCATTAAAGTACATCAACCGTCGCTTTCCCAGGATCCTGACGACATAAAGCTAAAGCTATTTCCGTTTCTGATGAACGGACGGTCCTCAAATACGACAGAGCACAAATCAAGGACACGAATACAAACAAAGAGTCAACGACAGTAGAGTAAACCACTCTCGGGGAGGGATTCTGGTATCACAATTACAGGTAAATGTTGATCGGTGAGCACCCAATGTTGATGAGGCCGTACTAGACACGATTTTCGTCGGTCAGAGTACATAATACGGGAACAGCAAACGACTGACGTATGTGTTGCCACTGCAGCAGACAGGCTCCTGGTTACACACCGCGCCGCTACCAGCGCCAATGACGCTGATGGAACTGCAGCCCATTCCAACCTTGGAGCCCTCCATGGAGTCAAGGGCGATGTTCAGTACGCTTGTGATCGCGTTCAACGATGGGCTGTCGTACTGTTCGAGGGTCAGACACGGCCCAGGACCGGGTCAGAAAGGAATCTACGCACGTCATATGTGGTTTCACAGCATGAGACAGTGCCGGTGTCGCACTGTGCACCCGAACTGCAAGTGCTGTTGTCACGAGCGGATAGGGTGGGTACAGCACTGGTTCCTACGACGAATGCGAGGAGAGAGACGAGAGGGACAGAAAGAGCGAACATGTTTGTAGGGTGGTGTTAAAACTTTTGAAAGGGAAAAATGAGCGACAAAGTGGATTGAAGAAAGAAGATTATTACTGCTGCCTTTATATCAGTACAGCGGCGTCGCTAGTACGTCGGGGAAGCAAGATGGAAGCAATTAATGGCACCCCATCGGGGTTGGCAAAACGTTCTGAACCTCTCCATCAAGTGCACAATGTCCTATCACATAAAATCATCATCATATGAAGGAGATCTATCAACGAACTCGGCCACGCACCATCATGATCAATTGTGATATATGGCAGCTCACTAGCCAGTCGACCATTGTATGCAATGTTGAAGGTGAAGTTCAATGATCAGATGATATGATTTAGCAACGCGACTTCTCGTTCTGAAGGTCCAGCGCTTTGAATTTGGTAAAGAGCGGCCTGTACAAGTACGTACAATATTAATGGGTGAAAAAGAACTCCGAGCTTGTTCGCTTCGTGAACGGGCAGGTACGCATCACCGAAACTACAGGAACATGGACATGTCAGGTTGTTGGTGAGCACAGCTCCAAATACCAGCACGCCTACTCACTGGGATGCAGGCCTGCAGCTGGATCGCTGACCTGGAGGGTATGACCTATCGCACAGAAGATATTAATATTTATGAATTTGAAATGACAGATGCACTTCCAAATATGGAATTACCCTCGAACGACAGGATACCTAGAAGTCCGAGATTGTCTCGAAAGAACAATCCTGCCGTATTCCTTATTTGCTCATAGGGGCCAACGGCTCTGGGCACAAGATCTCGCGCCCGCGAATAAATATATCCCATCAGCTGGACCTTGGGTCATATGGGGTTCGAACGGCAGATTGCTTTGCCTACACACCATGCTAGGAAGGTATATCGTGCACGGACCATTTACTCCCACTCGATAGGCTTAAAAGGGAGCTTCCTACATAGAACTAGAAGTACAAGCAGTCGGGGCAGAGGTAGCCCCCTGACGAGAGCTTTCGCAGGCTCGAAACTGCTGCCCTGCTGCTTTACTAGCTTCTCGATGCCCTAGTACCTACCAGCGCTTTATCTTAGGAGACAGCGGTCTGCAGCGCTGGGTGCTGGAAGTGGTCTGCCTAGTACACTAATCCAAAGTCAATATTATTTGCCCTCACTGCGCTTCGGGCCGAGAACGGCCAGGGAACTGCAAATTCCCGACAAGTGCCTCCGAGTCAATGCACACAGTGCTGGTCTAACCGAATGATGTGCCTGAAGGCATTTTCCTCAGCAAAGACGCTCACTTGAAGTTGAGTCCATATGATACTCGTACCAATGGGGTGTCCTACACGCATGATAAGTTAAGTACGCATCGACAAAGCCAGATAGCTCGACATGTATAAATAAATTTGTTGTGTGCTCACTGTTATTCATTCGGACCCATCCGCAGGGGATTCGGAGAGTTTCTCGACCCTGCCTTCCTCGAGTGCACGGGTTTATATGCGCCTCACATGAATGTCCGATTCACGTACTAGAGCCTGAACACGCCATTAATGACCCCAGTGAGTGTCCTTGACCGCCCATTTAGGAATAACGAATTGGGATGCAACAATTCTACTGGAAATCACGCCTTAAATCAGAGCACTTGGTGTCAGACACGATGTGATTATTGACCAGACTATAGCACTCCTTCACCATCTCTCTCACGTGTCTATTCCAAGCACAACCTCTGTTGCGAAAGCAACTTCAGCACTCATATTCAAGAGGCACCGAGGAAAGCCACGCTCACCTCTTACTATTTTACGTGCAGTACGCACCGCTGGCTAACGCTTCGCAGCAAGTGGGGCAAGCGCAGCCTGCAACATATACGAACTCGTCTGTAGATGCACATTCGTAGATGAACGCGTTCCCGCCGTTAAGACTCGCGTCCTGTGAGCACCCATAACCACCTGCAAGTAACCGTAAGTACGACGTCAAATATCCACACATACCGAAACACGGCAAGAGCACTAACCTGGGGTGTCGCAAGGCTGGCCGATAGGGTTGTACGCGGTGGCTACGCCAGCCATTACCGCAACAGACACGATCATAGAAGTGAGTGAGATGAATTTCATGTTTGTAGTGAGGAGAGTGCTAAGGCTTGATGATGGTTTATCTTCTGTTGAGTTGAGTGGAAATATGACACTTTCCTCTCGCCTTTATACTGCAGCCCACACCATGATCCAGACAACGATGCATCTCATGTCCCGCGTAGGACAGGCTGTGACAGGTTACCTTGCATGGCATTCCCGTCAAATCACTGCAGATACGTGAGAGGATTGATCTTGAATGCTGCGTACCCCTCCACATGACCTATCCGAGGCGATGGACACGGAGGGATCATGTATCAAAGCAGTGGTCTTGTCATAATACAGTGATGTGTGTGTATGTCCGGCCTTTTGTTTTGTGAGCTGTTTGATGTTTCGATCTTTAGATCGTGCGCCGTCTGATGAATGTCAGAAGGAAACGGGGGTCCTTGCCTCCAGTTCGGAATAGGGTGCAAATATGAGAGTTGACTCTTAAATCTCAGTCGACACTGATAATTTGGCCGAGCTGACCCTTCCGTCACATGAACAGATTAAACGCGATTCAGACAAAGCATGTGATATAATATGTTAGAATGTCTGGACAAGAAACCACGTAAACAACAAGCAAGCGGGACTTGAGCACTATGATACTTACGATTGATTCGTTCCTGGAATGCAAAACGATAAACGATACGTCCCATATGCACCAACGCCTGAATAAAATTTAGTTCTAGGTAATATTATGGATACCACTGTAGTGTTACCGGCGGTCGATGCCTGAGGCAGACCCGCCATTTGGGACCTGACTGAGACGCACGCAATTGATTGTCACATTGATCACCCGGAGTATTTGTCGAAAGTTCGGGACTTGATCTTAAAGTCATGTCATTGCAGAGTAGGAGACACGGTGGGGGACATGGTGTCCCCCTTTCCTAGATAGAAATGTCCTACATAGGGTACAATACCCCAACTGGACATAATTGGATTAAAAAAAAAAAAGTCATGTCATATTTTGTTTTGAAAGACAAACAATATTTGACATACAGATGGATGGGATTGCAGATTTGCCTGAGTCTTTGGTACGTCATACCTAGTCAACTCAGGGCGGGAATCAAAATAGTAAAAAAAGGATGAATCTCACATGCTGTCTCTCCTACTGCATCTGTGTACCATTGTGTCCCCGCACAAGTGGTGTTTCCTGCAGCTGCGAAGTCGATTACAACACCAGCAGGGTAGTTGTAATGGTGGGAACGAGATTTTGAAGCATTTTAAAATTTGGCAAACACGCTCGCTGTGAGGGTTTCTGGAGAATATTGGGAACAAAGAATAGGTGGGTTGAAAACTGCGCCTTATGTGCATGTCTTGGAGTTCGCGAAGAATCAATATTGCCAAGGTGACCTGTCGATGAATCAATGTGGTAGGCAATTCGTACCCTGCTGTAGAGCTGCGTCGCTAGCTCTCGTCAGGGAAGCAAGATGAATGCAATGAATGGCATCCCATCGGTTGGTACAACGACTGGCAAGTGCACGATATCCTATCACATAACATCATCATCACATGAACGTCTATTAATGATCTCAGTCACGCACCATCAAAAAATAGCGGCTTACTACATAGTCGACCGTCGTATGCAACGTTGGAGGTGAAGTTTCGACGAGTCTGTCAAATGATATCATTCAGCAACGCAACTTCTTGTTCTGAGGTCCAGCCTGACTCGGAGCGCTTTGAAGTTTGAATTTAGTGAAGCAGAGACTTGTACGAGTACGTACAATATTAAAGGGTACAAAAGAACTCTGAGCTCGTTCGCTTCGTGAACGGGCAGGTATGTCGCTGACCTTGCCCGGGCCAGGCCTTCGGGTACAAAGAGACTTATGAATTTGAAATTGACAGACGTACTTCCAAATAAGGAAGGTATCGAGACTTTACTCTCTCGAACGACAACTGTTGAGGAACTGCAAATTCCAACAGGTGCCTGATTAATGCACCGGTGCTCATGATTTTATAGTCTGACTGAATGATGTGCCTGGAGGCCATGAAGCTGAGGGCGTATGACCAGGCTTCACATGATACTCATACCATTGGAGATCAGGTCGCCATTGTCCCACACGCATAATAAAATAAGTATGCGACATATGGCAATGTCAAGGACGCATGCTGGTATCAAGATCCTGAAATATGCATCAAAGGTAACATGACATTAAAGACTGCGAGGGAGCCTCGCCGAAGACTAAGTATATCATCGACAAAGACAGGTAGGTTGGCATATATAAATGCAGTGTCTGCTCAATGTTATTCAGCAGTCGATTATGATCCGTCCGCAGAGGACTCAGAAAGTTTCTCCATCCTGCCTTCCTCGAGTGTATGGGGTTTATGCGCCTCCGCGGCTCTAGTTTGATCAATAAGATCCTGACGCGAGGAATATCCGGCTGGAGCCCATTCCCTGGAAGTCCAAGGTTTGCAATTAGGATCGGTATACATCTGATATCAAAGTTTAGATTGATAGACCAGTAAAGAAAGGACACCTACCATGTTGACATTTTCTAGTGAAAGATCAGATGATTCGTAAAGGAAGAAATAGACGACAACAGCTCCCGTCAAGTTGCATGCTGGACAATCAAAATATTCAGTGGCGTGTTGCGCTATTAATGGAAAACGTCATACCCGCAAAGACGAAGCCGTAGCGGTAGCCTATGGCACTACTGATGAAGGGCGTGAAGAACGCCAATAGGAAATTCCAAATCCAGTTTGCGGCGGTCGACAGACTGCCTTGCTTGGCACGGGTCCGTGTAGGGAACGTTTCTCCAATAAGAATCCAGATACCACTGTATAAACGTCAGTCTGTCACAAAATCCCAGTGTGCAGGTTCTTACGGAGCCCAGGTCATCGCATAACCCCAGATAAACATGCAGGCCGACACGATCATCACTAAATATGCCAAGTCAGCGACACGATACGCGCATGGAATGACATTCCCCACATTTCCCCATGCCAGGATGAGTCGTAGGATCCACAGCAGTTCCAGCAGCGGCGAAGATGAAAAGCCATATTGATTGCCAGATCCCTCCAACGATCAGAGGTCTGCGACGGCCAAACTAGACGCACAATGAGAAACTTGTCTCCCCACTCATAAACGAACCGGGTCGCTTACCCTTTCGAGGACATACATTCCGCCGAACGTACAGAAAAAATTGACAGCGCCAAGAATGATTTGAGTCACAAACGAGTCACTGAGACCCACTGACTCGAACACAGTGGCGCCGTAGTAAAAGAAGTAATTGGCGCCAGTGAGCTGTTGAAGGCTCTGTAGACTCATTCCAAGAAGGGTGCGGTAGAGAGTCTTGTTTTGTGGCTTAAAACAGTCAATCCACCCGGCACGAACCTGTCTTTCGAATTCGATAGAAGACTTGATTTCCTCGACCTCGCGAGTGATGATATAGTGGTTCTTCACCTCTTCCTCGGGAACACCACGAACACGCGCGAGAGATAACCGAGCCTCCTCCACTCTGCCATGCGCGGCAAGCCATCTAAAGGCATGATTAGACAAACGAAGGAAATCAGAGTCGATTGTTAATACTGACCTAGGGCTCTCTGGCATGAAGAGGATACCGATACCGAGAATCAGTGCCCACAGGATGCCAATACCAACAACGATGCGCCATGAACCGGAGTTAGAGTTGTCCCGGGTTCCAATTGAGATACAGTCTGTGCAAAAAATCAACAGCTGACAAGGAACTTGATATGGTGATCTTACAAGCAACCAAGATACCGAACGTAATGAACAGTTGGTAAGTTGCGCTGAAGAAACGTCAGCGCCGTGTATGCCACTGAAATGATGTGTGGATATCATACGTCAAGGTACCACGGATCTGAGATGGAGCTGTCTCGGCTTGATACTGAGGAAATCAGAATACGAATAAAAAGAATGGTTGCAGAACAATTACCATCGGGACGGCAGCACTAAGTGCCCCAACACCCAAGCCACCAACAAACCGACCGAAAGCAAATTGCTGCCAGACTTGTTCCGAAGCTATCTGAATAATAACTCCAATTGTGAATATGACACACTCCACGGTCATGGCATAACGACGTCCCAAAAAGTCAGCGGTGCTCAAAGAGACTTTGGTGAAATGTGGAGACAGATATCGCGGGCTGCTTACGGTGCACCCAGGAGCGAGCCGACAAGGGTTCCGATGGAGAGAAGAGAAACGATGAGACCTTCCCGTACGGTGGAAAATGAACAAGTCGTTGCATCTCCAGGTGTGGAGCAGGTGGCAAAGCGAAGAAGAAAATCATCCATCAACATGATATCTGATATCTGACCAGTGTCATACTAATATCCGTAGGTTAGCGGGGATGATTAGGATAATATTGTAACCTACGCCAAAGATGAAACCACCCATTGACGCCACGAGGGCCAGCATGATTGCTACCCATCCTATGGGCACTCCTTGACTGTAAAACAGGGGGTAATTAACATGAGCATGATTGTAGTTGTTTGTAACTAGTACAATGAAAGCTCACAAATAGAACGCCATGAAGTCAGGTTAGCCCACTGGGCAAGTGTGCGTGATTGTGAGGAGACGAAGAAGAGACGCTTGCGCGAAATATTTCAGTTCAATCTATAAAGTAAGGGATAACGGTGTGAGAACTCCCGCTAGCTAGGCTCGCACTTCGCGCATATCTCGGCGGTTCCGAAATAGAACGGCTCTCTATCTCAGTCCCCGACTGAGTCCGCTTATTTGACCCATGGAGTCCTTACAGACCGCACGGCTCCAAGTTTTGCCTCCATGCGCCACTGCTTTGAAAGCCGCATGAATGGATTAACGGTTGTGCGATGTCTGATGCCGGACTGCACGTACTGCTATTATATCTCAAACAGATTTCCAAAATGTCACTGGCAGCCTGAGTATGTGCGAGTTACCAGGTGACTGTCGATTGAACACGAGGTCAAGCTGGTAGTCACCAATTTTCTAGTTCGGGATGACGTAGTTGTATCACGATGTGGGCGTCACCGGTCAGTCAATAAAATAGAAGCCCGTGACCTTCGCCTTAGTCAGAGTCTCCAACCGGCACGGGAAACGAACGGAGCGTCTCGCGCTCCTTTGGGGGACCTTGATTTATTTTCGATACTCGTACAATAATATTTTCTGTATATATATATGCTTGTCTAATTATAATAATACTGAGGCGTTTGAGGAGTGTCAGAGGTCCTTCCATAGTCCATAGATAGAGTATGTCTTTACGCTTCACCACTGTTCGCCTGTCGGCTTCAGGTGAGATTCTTCGCTCATCACCATGGTCGTCGCACTTTTTGTTCGTCTCCTTCGGCTCCCACGCTCGTCTTGACCCGGTCCCACCTTTTTTTTAGGGCTGCTTGCTTGCCGCTGGGGAGCTCTGATGACCGCCTCCTGTTAGGCTCTTTTTTTTTGTTGATTCCAGAGATCCACTTTTCTCACTCGCGTCCTTTTCCTCGCACTGGATCATGATCATGCGCCAACGACTCGTGGCATTTTCGCACTACATTTGCATCTTCTTGCCTATACCCTACTCCTAGCTCCGTTCCCACTACCTCAGCACCAGCACATGCGCTTTTCTCGTCGTCGTGTTGAGTTTAGTGCCCGCCACGTCAAACGCCCCTTCTTCGCGCGTTTTTCGCAGCCTGTGCCCCTCGCACCATCCGCGTGCACTCATCACAGCGGAAACTTTAGCGAACTAGGAGCGACGCGAAAGGGAAGCGCAAGGTCATGGACAAGCCCAAAGGTTCCAACGCTGGTAAGAAAAGGATGCCTTCGATGACGAGAGTGCCAGAAATGGTGGGGAGACACACGGAGAGGTGACTGAGAACTGTTAGAGTGCAGGGAAATGAGGATTGTGGATCGGGGTAGTCCATGTAAGAACATACTTCATGTAAATTAGGGCGGTCTGTTTGGCTTGCGATTATAAAATGTGTTGGGAAGAATCAACTTGCTTGCTGTTGATTGATCAGATCGATCATGAGTAGCAGGGAAAGACGCCAAATAAAAAATGATCGATTCAGAAGATGCCCTCTGAGGCTCGATCGTTGATGACAACGTATACCCTGTAGATGTTATCATTCCTTAGTTATCTCAGCAGTTCCTCGAGACGTACGAGCCGCCGTCAGCTTGGCAATCCGAATTTGACAAGTTGATGGCAGCACGATTGGCCACAGTTGGTGGTAGAAAAAGAGGATTTAGGAAGTGCAACAGACAGGTCTGATGCATCGGATGGTTATCTGCAATAGCTGAAAGCTATGTGATAGCGGCCGGCCGGGGCTAAAGCATTGATGGGGTCATGATATCTACGGCCCCTCCGACGACTCGGCGGACTCGGAGTACCATTCAAGGAAGATGGTACACATGCAGCAGAAGCGTCGGAACCGTAATAGCTCGTCGAAGAGTTCTTGTTGAGCTAAGGTTATTAATAATACAAGCTGGAGGTTCTAAGCACCAGAAGCACTCCAGACATGAACGCGCTCGGTCACAGTCACGCTTCCATCTTGTCACACAGCGCGTTTCCGGTTATGCATCATACTCATAACCACAACCAACATGGCGCGCGCAGGACCAAGCAGAACACAGAGGTCACAAAAGGCCCCACAGCCCTCACAGTCCCAGTCGCAAAGACCTGTTCGAGGTAGCAGAAGAGCACCCGTTGAAGAGGAGGAGGAAGAAGAAAATTCAGGAGACGATGATGACCAAGGCATGGACATCAACGGAAGTCAAGCAAGGCTCGCTGAATCTGATGCAGACGTAGTAAGTAGCTCGCATCTCGGTGGTAATTTCCTGATGTCGGAGAGCGCTCGTTGATTCGCTCCCCAGGAACTTGACAGGAAAGCGAGTGATCTCGTAAGATTTGCTCTTTTTATGGAGCAGAGGCGGACTCTTATACGCCGAGAGGATATCAACAAGAAGGGTACGTTGAGCTTGCAGATCTCATCTACTTGAATGCTGAAAGAGATACAAGTCCTGGGCTCTAACTCGCGCTTGTTCAATTCTGTGCTTGAAAGAGCGCAAAAGCTCCTAAGGAAAACGTTTGCGATGGAACTTGTAGAACTTCAGTCGCGAAACTATCGCGAGCAAGATAATGTCGTAGCTGGTGACGACCTTCAAGAGGCACGAAACGCTACCGGAGTAAAGAAGAAAAGTAAGTTGCAGCTTTATCTCCTGATGGTCATGACAATTTCTCTCTCCATAGCTGCGGCAGCAGGATCAAAGACATATATTCTTCGTTCTGTTCTTGATCCCATCATTATTGAAGAGGCAGCACGAACGGACGAACGGCTGTATGAAGAACAGATTGCTGACTGCCAAGAAGACGGCGATGACGACGACGACATGCCGAGAAGCTACGGATGCATCATATCTTGGAGCACCGCAGATCAGGTCGGAGCTTTGGGTGTCTTGCATGTCATTCTAGCAATCATTCTCGCCAGCGGACGATCCATGACCGACTGTGCGTGCCATAGCTCATCCTGTAATCCATCTAACTAAATCACGCAATATGCACTTAGTGGAATTACGTGCCCACTTGAAACGCCTCGGCCTCTCATCGAATGAGTCCATATCCATGAACACCCAGTCCACGCACAAGTCCCTTCCTATAGACACATATCTTGGCCAGCTGATGAAGCAAGGATACATAGACCGTATCAAGCTGGGCGACACGAAGGCGGCTGGCGGAAAACGGGGTCGCGCTCCTGCAGCGACTCAAGCGAATCAAGATGAAAACCAAGCATTTGAATGGCATTGGGGCCATCGTTCATACAGCGAAATTGGAGAACAGGCTATTGCTACATTCGTCGCTGAATTCATGGTGGAACGCAACCGTGATAACGATGGGGAGGACGATGATGAAGATGGCAAAGCTGCGCGAGACAGGGGAAAGGGAAGAGCCAGGGCTGGGGATGGCGGCGGAGACAAGAAAGTGAAGAACGTGTACGGAGCAATCGAAAGGGCAGCCGGGGGTAACCTGTCAGATGTTAAATGAGACATTCTCGATATATTCATTCTGTTTTTTGATGCTGCCCCCGCCCTACTAAATATTCTACTCTATGCCTTACTATGCTTACTACTAATTGTCCACTATAGTCCACTGATCATAAATCGAACTAGCAGCGTTGTCCCAGTGCATCTCCCATCCATCGATAGTAGGTGCATGAACCTCCAGCCCTGCTCAAGATCGCAAAGACGAGCACAGAAAACCAACATTTGTTCATCCTTTGAGAGTACTTCATGGCGAAGGATACGTAGGCTGCACAACATCAGCTTGTCGGTCAACTATACCTTATTATTATCGTTCGCTCACCGGAAAAATGTCAAGTCATCCTCCTCAAATTCCCATTCAAAACGGCCATTCCACATGACGTCTGCGCCATCCTCTGGTACATGTTTACACTTAAAATGTTCGGACCGCCAATCTAGATTCTTCGAAGGACTAAAAAGCTCCGCGTGAACATACGGCGAGAATTCCGTGTGTTCTTTCGGGCGAGGCACTACAGGGGAACAGTTGTCAAAAAGTTAAAGTCTACCGAAATGACTTACGGGAACTGATTCCGATAACGTTGCATGTCAACTTCACATTGCGCTTAGAAACTCCTATCAACCGGCTTGGCCTCTCAACCCAGCCAGCAGTCCCAGCAAACATGGCTTCATTAAGCTGCATACCAAGGTCGAAGTTCTGCCAATTGAGACACACAATCTGGGAGCCGCTGCGCCATTGCTCCAACGGGTCAAGATTACTTGAGCTTAAACGTACACCGCGGGGGTAGATGCGTCGAATTCGACGCCAAGAATCTTCGATCAACTCTGACAGCGAATGCGGGAGCATGGCTAGTATGGAAGATTCGCTGATGTTCATCAGGATATTGGGGGGATGTGGGGGACTTGGTAACTCTACAGGAAGATCTATAAAAACGCCGAGTGAAGCAGCTGGTGAACACTTGCCTTCAGTAAGCCAGTGTTTGATCGGTTTCATACTTCTTGTGTAAAAACCTAGGTCGGCCAGCGAATCTGCAATCTTTGCCTGGGAATAATTGGCCGCCTGAAGGACAGGATCGATCTCATGATGAAGTTCGGAAACTTCATCCCACTCGGTGCCAGCACACGAGTCGTGATCAAATGCCTCAGAATCTGCAGTGATCTCCTGGCAATACGCGTCCGGATAATACTCCACCTGAAAGTCACAGTTAGAAACAATCTAAACCAACACCGTCCGCATACCATAAGTAAGATCTTTCCTTTTAGATCCCTTGGAGATATGGTATCACCGCCCACTCCGTCCAATGGCTCCTGCACCAACTTATTGCCCCATGCGCCTTTCATGATATCCACCAGTTCGCCTTGGTGGGCGACCGGCACGTGGCACTCTAGACTGATAATGACAGGCCAGTCTTCATCAAAGATTGCTTCGCCAATAGCCTCGCAGACCGCCTTGAACGTGACACTTCGACTGAGCGTATATCCATGCGTGACGATCGGACCCTTGGAAGACCACCAAACATCGATCTCGACGCAGCGTGCGTTCTTGGAGAGAACATGTGTGTAGCACTCGGAAGATGCACGACCGAGGACTTGCCATGCGAGTAGATACGTGTTATGCGAAGAGCTGGTAAACATGTAACGTTGTATGTGTGCATCGCTGAATTGATCTTGACATACGAAACGAAGTAATCCCTCAAAGGTCGAGTATCGTCGACAATCCGCGGACGAACAGCAGGAAGTTTCAGGAGTTCATGGGTGTCCTAGTATTTGACCGAGGGTCGTTCAGAAATCATCAGGAATATTTTTCGGGGCACCAAGGCAGAATGATTTGAAGTACTCACCAAACCGTTCTGCTTCAGAAAACTGAGGATCTCGGGACTTAGTCTTATGGTATCACTTGCTGGCGGATAGATGTTGATGGTAGTCTCCACAGACAAGCAGTGCGGGGAGGGAACCCCCTCAGAAGCCTTGGGTATCAACATGGGAAATTGGGAATCGACTTTCGGCTTCCCTCGAGGCCTAGTCCCAGATAAACGAACTTCAAAGTGGTGATCAGCCTGAGTAAAAAGTTACAGTTGTGTGCAAAACTAACGGCAATCGCAGGGTTCTCGTGCACCAATGACCAAACCCAGGCTGGTCACTAGTCTAATTACAGCTGTAATATATTGGGCCTGCTTTTGTTAGACGTGAAATTTTTATCCGTAATATATCGTGATGCGGACACGGAACTTGTCCGACTCATTTGCTGAAGAAAGTTTGGGCGGTGACGTTACTCCCGCTCATGAAACCCAATTTCTCGGAGTTGGGAATTACAGTGCGTGCATCGCCAGTACTAGTGACTAAGTGATTCCATAAAGTTCCATGGTGGGGTGGCTATGTTTAAGTTTATAAGTGTAACGAACGAGCGGACAATGTACAAAGTGACACAGTAATAAGCAAAGATTATATAGCGAAGTTGTATGCTACAAACCTACACCGCTGGTTTAAGGAGACCTAACTGCCTAGTCTCTCACGTTGTGATCGACGTAACAGAGGAAAGGCGGGTACAAATCTCAATATCAGGACTCTTGCCTTGAAGCTCGTAGTTTTCCGACACACAACTCCCCTGTCTAGGTAAGAGAGGCCAGCTGCGTGGAGCATAAGTGTGAGCATCCGCGAAGAGACTTTCTTCAGCCTCGGCACCGGCCCGCCGCAAGTTTATGATAAGTCGGGTCAGCGTCACATTGCAGGCGCTCCAGATGAAACTAAAGCACACGGTCAGACAGCGAGAGCAAGAGGCTGACGGTACGGACAAAACTCCAAGGAACATTAATGACAGCTGGTGCAGTTATCAAACATGTAAGCGGACTGACGTGAAGGAGCTAGTAAACTTACAGGCGAAACGATAGACACAATCAGATTTAAAAGACGCAATCCTGATAGAGTGTGAGTGTGGTGTATAAAACCTCTTGATTGTAAATATACCAAATAAAACCTAACGGAGGTCAGCTAGTTTCGACCACATTCATGATGACCACTCACGAAGAAGTAAATGCTTCCGTCACGATACATGACCTTCGCCATTTTTGCATGCTGCGGGAGCGGTTGGTCCAGGGCATTCCACCAGGTCGTAATAAATATCATAATTTCAAACACAATCTGTGCAACATCAGCGCCTAAACCTAGAAACAAAGTTGAATGGACACTACCCCAGGAGTCCACAGGATCACAAAGTTCACCTTCTGTGTCAATATGCAGGAATGCAAGTACGGCTCAAAGACCACCAAAGCTACCTCAAAAGGTAAATGTTCCTGTACCCAATCGTAAGACGACTCACGCATCATGCTCGATACAACGTAGGTCGTACAAACGATTGCCGTTATCTGCGTTACCAGAAAAAGAGGCAGAGTAACTAGCACAAGGCGGGTTTTGCGATCCCAGAGGACCCATAGACGAAGGAGGATGAGAACTGTTTCCATTAGGATGGAGACGGATAACTCAAAGTGACATGGAGCTCACAGTTACTGGTGGCGATCGATACCATGCCGACAACTATGATGACACCAAACCATGTTTGGCAGCTTTGCAGAAAATCAGTATGAAGTCCACGTTTTGTCTGCTTAGCCACATACAACTGAAATTCTAGTGTTAAATGAGGTATCAGTAATTATTCACGGTATGATGCATACCAAATCTGAAAGAATGTCTTCTGAAAACCCACTGGTCGCTTCAGGAGACACGCGTCAGATAAGATTGCCAAAATAGGCTCAATAGCTCACCGTGCGTGAGGATAATCAGGGAAGCCGGGACAACATATCGGTTAAATAAGAACAACAGCTTGGGAAAAGTTGATCGAGCACGCCAGATCAACTCAACCTCGTCATGAAACGTTAGGAAGTGGTCCCATAGCAAAACCTGTTCCGTGGAGTTGTTTAGCTTGCCATGCAGCGTCAAGAAATCATATGTACCACAAGCCCTGCAGCTATAGAATTTTTCGAGCACAAATCAGTCGGTAAACAATGGGAAAGTGAGCGTGCAAGCCTACCACTGACGTATTGGGACGTCCTGAAGTTTTGCAGCTCGGTGGGGGTGAAGGTGAGTGCCAAATCAGCCATGAAATGCTGCACCAGTCGACAAGGCCTTGCGCACTGTGCGGGAGGTAGTGGAGAAATGAGAGACCTGCGAAATTAAATAAGGGAGGTTATCAGCTAATTATATATGTCAAAGGGTTCATCAAACGTTAAAAGGGACAATGATGATCCGGTTGCTGGACGTGTGAGGGGGCCGTAATTGTCACGGTACTGCTGGTAAGTATAGTTTCCAATGAGTAAAATTCTGATAAGTGCAAGAATTATGGGCGCTGTATGAGAACAATTCGAGTTGAACGCACTGGCAGATGTGAACCAAGCCCATTAGTGCTAGTGATGTCCCACTTACATATAGGTAAACAAACGCCCTGAGGTTGAACGTGACGTGAGGCGACTCCAGTCATAAGCAAATGCACGTTAAAAACGTATAACGACTATATCATAATGTTTGTTCGCTAATCATTTGATGCCTGTGCGACTTTCGCATCGTAGTTCACACGAATATGTTCACGCTTGACTATGTTTGGCAAAGGCTTCAGAAATAAACAACTGCAAACCGGTGGACCGCTGTAAACCGTGAGATGCACTGTGCAGGGTTGGCAGGAACATCTTCCGCCCCTTGCAACCAGTCCGAAAGAATGGAAGTCGAATACAACCGCCATGAAACACAAATATCTAATTTATTTCAAGAAACGGGACCACGAGGACATAGAACATACACAGTAGAGGCACATAGGTACATTGGACAGTCCGCAGACAGTGAAGCAAAGTGTTTGTAGGATGATAGGAACCAGTCAAAAGTTATCATGAACGCTAGTTCTGTAACTGCCGTGGTTAGACCCTCGTAAGGACTGCACACTCGAAGCAAAGAGACCACACAAAGATGCCTGGAGATATTTCCAGCAGAATCCATGCTCTGAGGAATGAGAGGCAGAGCGAGTATGGGTGATCTGTAAGGCTTCCAATACTTTCCATGACGTCGTTAATCGAGACGGAGTCGGAACAGCCTTGGAACCGAGGAACGGTCATATCTCGGCTGTATCGGTCAGTAGTCAATTTTCATAAGCTAAAGTGAACACACCTTGTACTCGAAGATGTCGCATAATCAGGATTATGGGTCTGGTTCCAGTTTCTCGCCTCTGGCAAGGACGCGGACGACCTTGCTAGGCTGAGAGACCACTTCCATCATTTGCATAACGGCAGCAGGACGCTCCACTAGGCCGGTGCCTCGAGCGATAGGAAGACCCCCCGGAGCAGTATGGGAATTACCTCTACCTCGACCAGCCTGTCGTTTTCCTCTATCGTCATCTTCAAGATTACGAGGGTGGTTCGATGAAGGCGGAACAAGTGGCGCTGCGGAAGGTTCTACTTCTAAGAGAGTGATACCGGCCCGAGTAGCCCAGTGTCCGATCAGTAGGCCAGCTGAACGAGGCTCATATTTGTGAGTGTGTGGGCTCGGAGCTGGAAGGGGTACCGGAGAGGAGACTTCGGGCATTGCCTCAGTTCGACCAACCTGAGCTGGAGTAGCAGAAGGGGAAAGGATAGCAAGAACGACTTTCAGTTTGTCGCTCGTTGAAGCACGAGTTTCAGCGACGTGGTCAACTTCCCAACGTGCGCAGCAGATCATGCGCCGAACCCACTCTGGAGAGCCAGAGAGGTGGAGTGGCTGTGACGTAGCCTTGTCCTTATCATCATCGAGTGACAAGTCCTTGAACTCGATGCGGTCCCACGGAACGAAGGCATCATCCCGCTGGACACGGATACGAGGATTTGTGCCAACTTGAGCCTCTAAAATTCGTGAAGCTGACCGCGCGCGCTGGGCGAGAGGACTTGTTCCCTTCTTGAGTAAATCAAGAGTATTCAAGGCTAAACCACCTCACGTCAGTTGACAAAATGCTTGTAACATACCAACTGACCTTCAAGGGGCACAATAACAATTTCATCACGTCCATCTCTGCACCATTTCTTCACCTGGTGGAGGGCATGTACCAATACGCTCGCATCAACCACTACCACATCGGCGTCCTTGTCACCCCTCGCCTCCTCGCTTGATTTCCTGGGCTTTTGCACCTTGACCTCACTATACTCTCTTTCAGGTACAGCTTCAGCGCCAGACTTCTTCGCGGACCTGTTGCCTGAAGATGGGCGCTGCTTGGGTGGATGGTTGATAACACCGCGACGGTTGGTATTACCCAAGTCGGCTTGCGGATGACGACGGTCTCTCCAGTTTCCAGATGCTGGCCCACGTGTAACTGATTTCTCCAGCTGTTCCACTTGGTGGCTTAGAAATGCAGCCCCGAGCGCTCGAGACATGGCAAGCTTGTTCACTGAACCGGTAGTTGTGGGACCCTGCAGTATGCCACAGTGACAAAAGTTGATGGTCAGTGAGAAGATGCTCAGCGATCCCGTTGAGCTTACCTTGCTCTCCGCCATTTACTATGCAACTAGAAGATTATTACAAGGAAGAAGAGGATAGCTTTCGATGTAGGCTGTTGGCCGTGGGACAGATACGGCTCTGAGTTTTGTGCGGCCCACACCGCGTTAGTGAACTTATACTTAGTCAGCAAGCTGTGGGGTCAGGTCTAATTCTGAGACCTGCATAATTAATGATCAAAGCCTCAAGGCGGGGGACTGGTCTAATAAGGTCTAACACTACAATTCTGTCGGGTATCAAGGCGCCAACAGGTAAATCGATAAATATAAAACACCGCGTCTTCTCAGCGAGAGTCGACGTTAGTCAACCAAAGCCAAATATCATTCCAAATAAATCCTTCCATCCCCTCTTCACTACGATCTGCGTCCCCGCGCCATACTCGTCAGCTAACCACTCTAGATAACGGGCATCAAGAGAGCTTAGAGGGCCAAGCTCGAACGATAACATGTCTTTTGGAGTAATGTAGATCATCGAAGTCTCTGGTGTACCGGAGGCGACAGAAGGAAGTAGATCAACTAGGCGAGAAAGTTGGAAGCTGGTGTTGGCGTGGAATGTTTGAAGTAACGCGAGTGTTGTTAGAATCTGACGATCGCGTCGTTCGTTCGTTTCTGGATCTGTGTCATCACCATTGCTGCATAACTGTGGCATAGATCGCGTAGCAGCGGAAGATGACGAGGGCTGGCGACGGTCAGCACCAGTATTCCCAGCTGGCAAAGTCATGCCGCTGGACCTTCTCATTCCCTTTGAGTTTGGGCTTCCACTAGGACACCCTTCAATCCCCATACCCAGGTTACGCACAAATGTACCGTCGACGGTAAGGTCATCGTCGCCTTCTAATCTGATGCTGCCCCAGTTAGCGAGGGATCCGTTGCCGGTGGAATAGGACGCGACTGAGTTGCCGCGCCAGGACCCCATCCAGAGCCCAGCACATACAATACACACGTCTTCATATATTCTCCAAGGATCTGTCCACGAAGATGAGGGTTTATTTCTTGCATCGGTTTCAGATGAGGGGCGGCAGCATGGCTGTGCACATTGATCGCCGTCCAGCTGCAAAATGCGTTCAAGCTCATTCCACTATCAGGTGTGTTCAGCACGTATACAGAGACATGATTGCAAACTATATGTACCAGCCTTATATCACTCCACGTGAAGCGAAAGATTGTTAAACGATGCGTGGGCCCTTTGAAACCAGGTGACTGCGGCTGCGGCTTTGAGAGGTACAAGGTTGGTCGTGAAGTTTTGGAGGGCGTAGATGTCGTTAGATCAATTAGAAGGTCGTAGTAAGATGGTTTGTCCATGAAAATGGCATCAGTCGTGCCTTTCAAACCAGAATAAGGTGCACGCCGGGAACTATATTGTCATCACTTACAAGCAACCCAACCTCGACCAGTTTTGCCCTCGCGATCCATCTTGTCAAGGTCGTTGAGAGTAACCATGCCAAGCACATGAATGCCCTCTTGTGTTTTTCCTTTAAGTCTCGTATAATTCTGCGTCACCGGGTCATCTTCATTGATATCATTAGTTAATGGGTCACGTTGGGCTGCATAGCAGATATCCGCAGCCACTTGGCACAGTATGCATGCGGCTTCAACCGGCGGGAGCGTATATATAAGTATCCTCCGACGCCCTAGGACATGCTTGTACAATGTCAATGCCGAAGGTCCTAGGATGCGCAACAGATGTGAGAGGTGCATGGTGGGATTAAATCGAGACAATTCTGAATCCGGCTGTGTATTGGTGTCAGCCAAACACAAGGAAAGACTCATGCTGCATCGCACATTATCAAGTTCATGGCTCCAACCATACCATTCGCCAGCACCACTGAGATCTACTCGTCGAACCTTGCGTTCCTCGAAGAAAACACGAGCAGGTTCCCAATCACTTTCGGATGGTTCTAAAACACCTCTGGTTTCTAGCGAGAGATAGATAGAGTCGGCTAAAGCCCGAAGGGCAGCGGCATGCCGCCACGGACGAGACCGGGTAGATTTGGCCAGTAAGACTCCAAGAGACGTCAGCCGAAATCCGCGGTGGCCTTGTTCAGCGGTCTTCCGTCGACGGAAAACACATACGCCGGAATGGGTATCCTTCGTGAAGTATCTATTGAACTCTGATAAGTAAAGCTGTGATATGGGCGCAGGGCACATACACCACATCCCGGTCTACAAGGTGAAGACCACTGGGGAGGGTACTGAATTCGACACCATCGAGCTCAAGGTCTGAAGCACGTTTAAGTCGCTAACCGATATGAAAATTGCAAACAGACCATCGCTGGCCTTCAAACACCAGTCCACCAGATTACCCTTCGTTGGGTGAAACGAAGCGTGGAAAATAGCAACTGGACAGCCAAATATCAGTTGAGTTCCTGCAGCTTCAGACTTAATAACAGACCTATATCCTGAGGTGCTCTTCCTCTCGAGTCGACGGCATCGATGGACATGGTTGCAGCCGCATGCACAGGCTGCTGCAGGCGGCAACTGTTTAAAGTCTCACACAATATTGATGTCACGGGCTGAAGGGACCATCGGTCACACTCCTGTCACGTTCAATCCGCGATGGCTTCAACCACTTCATCGCAGCCTCAACAAATCAATGTTGCTGATCTCGACCTGCAACAGTTATCTGATGTGCGCCGTCAGCTAGAAGAGGTATCTATTGATATCGTTGATCTCCTGCATCTCTGATTGCGTTGTAGGAGTTGAACCACCTCACAAATTCATTCGCTCAGCTGAAGCAGGCACAAGCGAAGTTTAAGTCATGCATTGAGAATGTCGGAGAAGTCAAACCTCAAAACAAAGGTACTTCGGCATTTTCGTCTTCAGGCTCTTACTTGACTCTATCCGCGCAGGAACGACCATCCTCGTTCCTTTAACCAACTCCCTGTATGTTCCTGGTCACCTGAGTGACGCGGAGAATGTGATTGTCGACGTCGGTACAGGGTATTACGTGAAGAAGGCATGTGCAAAGTCTTATCTTACAGTCCGCTGCTGATTAGTCGACCATATAGTCTCGGGCCCAAGCCACAAAATATTATGAAACAAAAGTGGAATATATTCGCACAAATCTCGATACGCTACAAGAAACGATACAGAAGAAGCAGGAGAATATGAGCTACCTGATTAATGTAATGCAAACCAAACTACAGCAGCCCCAGACACAGCCCACCAAGGTCTGAACTTTTGAGTGGAGGCAAGATTACATTTGCATGCTGCCCTCCCCCACTGATTTCTCCTCTATAACAGATTGTTAGCTGTAAAATACTGAATGCACGATCTTACCTCTTCAACGTGCATGAAACGTTTGTTACTTCACTTGGATGGCAGATCCTAGTCAACGGCCTAAAAAAACGCGGCCCCCTCGTTGCCGAGGGTTGCTCTGCGCCATTTGTGCTTTGCCAATCACTAAGACATGGCCAATCTCCTCAACTAGAGATCTATCGAAAGGTATGTGACTTATTTTCTTGAGCTAGTCTCGGCTGGCTATAAACGACGAAAACGCGAGAGCCACAAAAATTCGATCAAACACAAGCTCATCATGTCAAAAAACGCTTCGACAACTGTGGATCTCATGGCGGTCGATGCATATGAGAGACTCCATTCGTGGTGTCCGTCTTGCATCGAGCAGCGTACCACCCATGAACATTGAAAACACTGTCACTCGCGAAGGCAACTGCTCGTCTAGTGATATAGCTTCCTGAGCCCACTTTAAAGAACGGTATGAATAAGTATTGTACAAATCTTCGCCTCGTTGACATCTAGGAGCCCATTGGACGTCATCCAGTGCAAAGGCAGCCGTATGAGTGAGTGGGAAGTGACTGTACATCCGTCTACAGCGCTGACGAGAACACCACTATTCGATAACTTCTTCAAGTTGCACAAACACAGTTCTACAACCAGCGAGAACGACAGTGCTCGGAGTGGCTCGATAATGGAATGGCTCATCAGCGTCATTAGGATTGGGATCACACCTACTGAATCTTTCTGGTCGAGAAAGTCCAATATACGGATGGTTCGGATGGTCACGCACAAGTTTGCCGGTGAGTATCTAGTCAGTACCTGGAACCCTTGGCGATAATCAAATGTATGCTCGTGTCGTGAGCTTTTGTGTCATATGCCAGACGATCGTCCGTCAGGTCGAATTTATTGAAGTGTGGAAGTTTCTCATCTCCATTTTCAAGCTTTCTCGCTTGTAGTGCCCACCATCCCTTCCTCCTGTTCGTTGACACACAAGCATTTATATTAATAATCACGTAATAACAAGTCTCCTGCCCAATAACTATGAACTGAACTTCGCAAGCATGTCGTTAGCTATACCTCTCAACTCCTTCACAGCAACGTCGACCCCCTTACTTGCTCTGGTAGGACTCGCATTTCCACCCCCACGATAAGACGATCCATCCGTCTGATGAGCTGCTCGAGATCATATTTTGAAGCGATACACATGTACTTCTTCGTTCCTTCTACAAGAACGGGAAGGAATTCGATACAGCGTGCGTTGTTCATTATGAGAAAAGCAGACCACCACGCCTTTTTCATCATGTTCCACCACTGCTGGTCTGTGATGGAACTGAGTGATGTGGCGGACACCTGTTCAAGTGTCATTCGGAGGAAGATACCAGCGAGGTAAAAGGCATGCGGCTCGGGTGATTCGCAGCATACTGCGATCATCCTAATGGCCCGATCTATTTGGCAATGCAAATGGGGGCGCCAGTAGGAATTCTTCGCTAGGGCAAAGATCAATTCGAGATAGTACAAATCGCGGTCAGGATGGAAGAAGCAATCAGGACCGCCATCGGTGGATGTTGCACCTGGTTGCGGACAGACTGCGGTAAGGATGGCAGGGGAGAACTTGGTCAAAACCATGTCCGCATCATCAACGACATTGATGAAGGCTAAGACTTCTCGGGAACTGTGAGCAGCACGAAGTGCAGCATGGCGTAAACGGGGGGGCATGCTGCTACCCATGCAGGCGATGAGCTTCTCGATGTATTGATGTTGTTTAGCGGGGCTGCAGTTTACTCTCATACTACTCAGTAGTACAAGGATGTCACCTGCTGTCTCATGGTCGTTGGAACAAATATCGCCGAGGTAGTCCACTAGCCAGTCGAAGTCTTTCGGCGAGTGGGAATTGCTTTTCCACGATATTTGATGCTGCCACAACCAGGCAGGATCCCATCGCGATTCATCGGTAACGACGGCGAACCTGAAGCGCTGAACTTTTCGTAGCGCTGCTGATTGATGCCTTTCCGATGACCTCGCCCGTGAATAAATCTTCCTACACACGCCCAGGTTCCACATCTCCTGCGATGGAGGTGGATCAGGTAGACCGAGCTGAAGCATGCGACAGATGACGTCGGTGAGGTCCCATGCTCGGCGGCAACCTGTGCTGTCACTGTCGAGATCACTTCCATCTAATGCCCAGAATGCTTTCCGGAACTGCGCCCAAATAGACTCAGCAAGTTGATGCAGAGCAGAACTACACGATCTCTTCGTTAAGCATAGAAGAAAGATCAAATGAGTCAATAGCACCTTTTATCAACCCGAACGATGTCTTTCTTGTCAAACTGAATCCCGACCATGACGCAAGCAAGAAGAGTGCAGTTAGCTATGATTTGAGGCGATGGAGAGGAAGGAGAGGATAGGAGTTTTGATATCACTGTGATGGCAAGTTTCTCTACGTCTTCATCTACTCGCCCTGTGACAAAGTGGAAAGGAAGAGCGTGAGACAGCCACTCGAGGACAGGGTCGGGACAGGCCCCAAACTTCGGTGAAGACCATGAGACAAAAGGTGGTTTATATTTCGCAACAAACAGTTTGGTTGTCGCAATAACCACATTGTCTTTGACTTTTGCCCTCTCCAACATCCGGCGAAACACGAAGTAGTCTGTGCTTCCCTGACCAATAAATCCATAAGGAGGATGTCCCTGAAGAATACGGTTGCAGTATAGGTGACAAAGAGCCATTGTACATGCAGATGCCTTCTCCTCCAACGAGGGTATGATTCGCTCCTGGACGTCTAAGCAGGTTGTGTAAACATCGTACAGCTGACGCAGCGTGACCGAGACGTCAAGATCCAGAGGCCAGTCGACATACCGAACAAGGCTAGCAGCGGCGAGAAATACTTCAGGATCCGTGGATGTCTCAAGCAGCCACTTGATGCTTGGTGCTTCGAGAGAGCTGGTGGGTGTGTCCGGCAGCTTGAGCTTAAGTTTCCTGTTCTGGTCAAACGATTGTGCTTCAGAATCCATGACCCTTGTCAGAGAGCGCCGCGAGGATAGAAGGCGCTGAAATGCGCTGAATAATGGCTGAAGGTGGCGCCATACGAATGAACGGATTGCAAACACAGAGCCTGGAGTGATATGAGCGCGGTTATGCTATGCAATAGTACCAAAGAACGTCACCTGCTAGTTCTGATCGGATCCTATATATAACATGCTGGACATATCGATAGAACAGGGAATTTAACATCCATTGTAGTACATCTAGCAAGAAACGGTCAAAATTTGTGCATGCTTAAGAAAATGGAACGTACCGTGCACTGACTGTTTAAGATACCGGGACGCCAAAATAACCATTGGACGGAAGACCTCTGCAATTTTGACTCAGACTGGAGATGAGCAGAACTTGGAAATGCTCTTACTATCGATGCGCAACATGCGCAACATCGTCGATATCGGGCTCTGAAATGGACAGGCAGGAGATACCAAAGCTGCCATCACCGTCAGCGAATAAAACAAAAACCCAAAGACCGTGGTTGCAATGATGACCCAGGCGACCGTGTACTGCTGGGACCACATATTGGCGCTGAGGGCAACTCCAAAGAGAAGAAGAGAGAATTGTAGTAGGATCGGGAACGATTGCATTACAGCATCAAAATACCATGTGACGATGCCATCGAACCTTTCTTGTCTGCGCTTCGCTCGTTCATCCTCCGAGCCGCGGCCGTATCTGTGCGACTTGTAGTACCCGAGCCACTGTTTTCCTAGCACGGCCCCGAAGGCAGCGAGTAAACTGAAGGACAAGCTTGCGTAGGCGATGCATTGGATCCTTATAATGGCTGTAGGCGGTGACCAGGTTGACGCTGGCGCTGCCGGCGTAGACCCCGCTGCAGTGAAATTGCCGAGTCCGATTTGGACGAGCTGGGATGAGAAGGGCATGCGTGGTATCGTTGGGGTCTGGACTGAGATTCGACTCCATGGCCACAATAAAAGCCGTGCTGACGGCGGAGAACAGACCAGACTGATCGAACGTCAATTCCAACGCAAGGCAAAGACGAGCGCGCGAAACTTACAAAAATTAACACGATGTCCATGTCACCGTTGTATCGCTCAAGGAACTCGTCGTCGTGTTCCTCGCCGACTCTTTTGTATGCCGCCCAGAAACGAGAGCGGTCATCCTTGCCGGTCTTCGAGACAATCGTTGAGTCCTTGAGAACGACCAACACCTGCTTCAAGACATTCACTCTACGGGAATAGTATCGTCAGTTGTGGCCCCTTGGCTTATTTGGTCGCTCACATTTCACTTGGACTTAGTTGGTCCTCCTGCACTACGACCTTTTGCGCCTCGCTGAGACGATATGAGCTTGTTAGAGGTTGAGGTTGCGACTGAGGGAACTTACGTAGCTAAGGCGCCTTTGGGTGAATCATTCGAAGTACTTTCCTGTACGTGAGGTCCTGCGAGCTGAGGAGGCCCAGAGTTCGAGCTGCAATTCGTGTAAGGAAGGTGCAAAAGCATCGGAGTAGAAACACTCACATTCCTGGTGAAGTCACTACCCAAGGTTCACAGATTTCTTCCTCACTGTGTCACTATCAAATGGGGAACTGATATTCCAGGAAAGTTGCAACTCACTCATCGGCAGGTTGTAAGGTATCCCTTTCTGGAGGAGGCTGCCCTTCAAGGTGGGCGCTCTGCACAGGGGCGTTGTCTGTGCTACCATCTTTTGATAGCCTTCGGCTACGTTTTGAAGTGATTGATGATCTTGACATGAGTATGATGTAGGGTTTCAGGGATGGAGCAAGCGATTGGGAAGAGTCTGAGGCGAGTGGACGGAAATAAGTAGTAGTGCACAGCCAATGAGTCAGCTATGACGAACATGTGGTAAACTCAAGGTATTCGTGAGGCTGTAGCGGATATGAATGGCCTCGCATAGTCTGCATGGCCTGGGACTCGTGAAAAGTGCTGGAGCTCAACGTGTCGCAGGGAACTGCGGTGCACAAATGGCATACGCCGATAAATTTCTGCGAGTGCCTGGTTGGGCTGTATGGCCACCGGCCATGCACCATTACAACTGTTCGGAACGGTCCAAGTTTCTGCGAGGCTATCGTCGGTGTAGATACCGTGGTGGAATGAGCAACGGATGCGCTGGTACCGGAAGGCTCTAGCGCTTGCGTCGATAGTGGTATAGGGACCCTTCGTGACGGTGTGCATGGTATAGGGATGGAGGCAACCGTGGCAATTAATATGTAGAAGAACTGTGGATTATACGGTGATAGACCGGAGTAACGGGAGTGGAGACGGACCGTCGAGAGTTCCAGGAGTTTGTGAGGTAGGGAGTAGTGTAGATACCGCAATAAGGGGTGTACTGAGAGATTGGTGCATGAGATAACGATGCTGGCGAAAGTGCGAGAGCAGGCGTGGATAGAGGCGACTTAGGATTTGCTATGAATGACTATGGTACTGAATCAAGTGCGTCGGCCTCGCCGCATGGACGCCTTAGGCACCAGTCACCGCACATACTAGTAGCGGAAATGACAACTTAACATAGTGCACTCACTGCACTGGCACTCGTTGTAAATATGGTGGCTGTGCCACTTGGTGTTACGCTCGGCAAAAGCCTTAGGAGGATATTGGTCTCCATCAGCAATATCCTCGTTGGCACGCACTTAGTTCTATCACTTTCTCTCTTGTTCCTCCATTGCTTACATCAGATTAGTAGTCTTACAGTATATAAGCTCGTCCTTATCTACTGTAGAAGTAGTTGATCTTTCCCCGACTGAATACATTTTAGTTCGGACAGTTACCTTGTCTGAATCCTTAAGCGTATTCCCTCGCCTTCGACTCGTTCTTACCGTGTGAACACTCTCTGAGTGCCACATATTTTTAACTGCCAATAAGTCTAAAATCAATCCCTACGCTATAGTCATCGTCGAGGAGGCTTGATCACCCTCCAAAACCCCGACTCTCATACACCCCGAAAAGAAAATTCCCTGATATCGATATCATTAGAAATGCCTACCAGTGCACCAGGCATTGCCTCTCCACTCCCCTCGACTAGGTCGAGGGCACAGAGTGCTGATGCTGAATGCACTCGGACTTGGAGTCCAAAGCGCAAGGTCTCAAGACAACACCGTTGTCTCTGGAGACGAAGGGACATGCAGCTAACTGGCTGAGCTGCCCTCAGAGGATGTCCCTCGTGACTCGAACCCCATGGATCTCGATCCGCACCAAGCAAGGAATGCTGCAAGCAGCCCTGCCATAAGTAGTACTACGAATATTGAAAGATTTTTCCTGGTTGAGGGAGGTATTTGACTGGTCAGACTCATATGATAATGAAGACCTTGGAGACGTACCTGAATTCCCCATTCTGAAACTGAGTCTGAGCCCCAGTGAGGCCATCCCCAAACCAAGAGAGATTCTCCTTGAAAAGGGAAAAGAAACCGACCCAAGCGAGAAGGGAGGTCCCTCAAAGAAAGCACTATTTAAAGACTGGTTAGGGGACTGGACTGAATTTGACAAAAGCATGGCTGAAATGTACAAACCTGGTCCAAACGACTCTGATGAGTCGCTCACCAAACTGTGGAACGACGAGAATTGCCAGAGCTCCATGTGAATGCAGAACCTGGTCCTCCGTTGCTTTTGGAAAATTGCCATGGATGAATTTACTGAAAAATGCCACGAAGTGGACAACCTGCAAGAAAGGGTCCGCGAATTAGAGAGACTAGTCACTCAGTCCCAGACACGCGAAGAGATGAGCAAACTACAGGGCGAAAAGGCTCACCTCTCCCCTATCCTGAAAGACCCGGGTATTGACAATGTCGCCCGAGTTCAAGAGACCACTAACCATGGTACAGCCCCTGAAGAAACAAGGGAGAACTCCACCAGCTCGAGAAACAATGACCACTAAGCATAACTAGGCATCAAATGAGCCACTCGACCAAGAGTGACACCAGGTATTGGCGAGCATCATCACGACTACCTAATAAGAGCTCAGTGAAACGAGCAATCATAGGAGACGACCCTAGCGACTTGGAGCCCTCGGACTCATCATCCGAATCCGATGATGATAGTGAGAAGTCCTCCACTGAGTCATCCGACGAAGAACTCAGGCAAAAGCCTGTGAAAAAGGAAAACAGAAAAACCTCACCTAGCAGGAAACAAGAGGCTGATGAGGACTTCTCTGATGACCTAAACGCCAAGCTCCTCTCTATGGAACCGGAGTCTGACCATGATAGCGACACGGTTGAAAACAAGAGGGCGAAGCGAGCTGCAAGATGGAAACACTGCCCAATTGAACCTGCTCAAATATCAGCAGGGTTTCCTGAAGCATGAGCCGCCGTTTACTTACAACAGCAAGGTGAACTCATCGACCTTTAAGAAGTGGGTGCGTGAAGTCTGCGAATGGCATGACTGTTGGAATTGAGCAAGTGCGCCTGCAGCCGAGGCGTTTCGTTATTCGTATCTTCTGATTGGTTCAAACCGACGACTCGTATGTTTCCATTGTTCGGTCTTGTTATTTCACTTTTACTTTGTACTTACTGAGTCTATTGACTGCATGGGCCAGCACCATATATCTCTTGTTACAGTTTCAAACACTTATTCGTTCATACAAGAGCACTCGTACTATTTAGATAGCTACGAACTCAGACTGCCACCTCAGACGTTTGCATTCACGTGCATGATCTGAGGTAAGACACTTGTTTTCTACTTACTTTCACCTATGCTTACTTGTCTTAGAGTATCTACTTGTTATAGGTGAATAACATAGACATTTGCATTTGCGTGCATGATCTGAGAGTATCTACTTGTTATAGATTGACGCGAAGGCCATTATAACTTTCACAGTGACTGGGCAAAATTATCCACCCAACAGAGTTTGAGGATGATTGGGAAGTACCTAGGGGGAAACACGTACCGGTTCTATGAATGCGATGTGCTCGACCTTAAGAAAAAGTACTCACTCACTGATTTCTTTGAACAACTGTTCGACTATGTATTCCCCACAGATTTCCGTATGATCCAGTGCCAGAAATGACTGGACTGCAAGCAAGACGGCCGTCAATCCGTCCAAGACTACATTCGTTGATTAAGGGAGCTGGCTGATACCACTGGTGACGTGGGAGAGCGCGAACTGGTGCGACAGTTCTGGATGAACTGTAAGCCCTACATCAAAGCATCGTTAGTGGACAAAGGGTATGACCCAAGTACTGTAAACATGGACACAATAGAGAAAAAGGCACTGCGCACTGAGCGTGCCTTCATTGAGAATGCCTGCGATCCGAACGTGCTTCTAGCCTTGAATCCCACCTTAGCTGCGGGTGCTGCAGACCAAGCACACTCTTCTGACAAACGAAGCCTTCACCACCGGAGTCGTGATCGAAGGACCCACACCCGTCACCTGACAGCAAACTCCGTTAGCTCGTCAAACACCCGTAACCCCAGGGAAAACAGACAGCCTAGGAACGCATGACCCTGCAAGACTCACCGTGCTCCTGATCGCCCTAAGAAGAGTGCAGATGCTATACGTAAGCTCCGAGAGTTAAATCAGTGTTTCGAGTGTGAGCAAACCGGGCACCTTGCTAAAGACTGTCCCAGGAGGCACCGACTTCCCCCCCAAAACTCCGGCAGGATATTGACCCTTCGATCGAACACTGTGGGAGTTACTGCGGCCGACATTTGAGCTGCTGCCCTTAGTGAAGGCACCGCGCAGGGTCTGTACGGCTTCGCCATTGGCCTGGCCACTGAGGGCAACCCAATGCCAGAACTTGAGGTCGCGTAATTAGTAGTAATACCACCCAGTCAAGTTACTACTAGTAGTAGTATATGTAGTCCTACACAATATCAAACACATATCTCCACAGCAGGAAGTCCGTGACTAAAGGGTCCTTAGCTTATATTGCCACACAGGCACGTTAAAATTTTGGTAATTTATGTCTCTCCTAGTACTGATTGGTTTTCAGGTTTGGTTTTAATTAAGCTCATCGTCTGTATTTTTGCATACCAACACAGTTATGGACTCTGAGAACTTTTATCATAGTATTAGTAGTGCCACAGTTCGGCTATGCCCCGATCGGGCTCGGCATCTACTGACAAACTTGTAGTTTGGTGATTGTAGTGAACTAAGCCACTGATTTGCCATGTAGACTGGTTCATTCTGGTTAGTCAGTCGCGAGAACCAACTAAAGCCAAACTACGGCTTGAACTGGCCTTCAGCTGGTTCAAGCCAGTTGAACTGCTTGTAAAACGTGGATTTAATACTTCCTCCGACTTCCTCCTTGACTATTGGATCTACTCTACGTTATTTTGTAACATGAATAAGGTCCTTACTCGAGTCGATGGCAGGTTTAGGCTGGGAGATGTTCTGGGGTCTGGCTCATACAGTACGTGACTATGTCATTCATATAGTGACTATATTTACCATCTGGGCTTCACTTAGCTGTTGTGTACCACGCACAAAACTTCATCAAGGATGATTCAGTGGCTATCAAACTCAAACCCATCATCAACTGCTCGTCCTCTGTGTGCAATGAATACAAGATTCTGAAACGACTCGCAGGCAGAGTTGGGATCCCCCATCTTTTGGTTTGGGAGAGAATCAACATACCATGCTTTGGTTCTTGATCTCCTTGGGCCGTCGTTGCATGATATCTTCATTGTGCATGATCGAAGATTCAGCCTTCCCAACGTTGTGAATCTAGGAAACCAGTTGGTCAGCTGCTTTGTGAATGGCCATTGCAGAGAGCTAACTCCATTTTTCCAGCTCTCACATCTCAAATACATCCACTCACACAATTTCGTTCATGGTGACATCAAACCCGAGAATATCTTAGTTGGTCTCAATGATTTGAAGCACACTGCCTTCATCATTGACTTCGGTATTTCGAAGGAGTACTGCAATACTTTGACCAGAGCCCATATACCATTTTGCCAAGGTCGTTGTCTCGCCGGCACACCTGTATTCACCTCAATCAACAGTCACTTAGGAGTTGAGCCAGGTCGTCGTGACGATCTCGAGTCCCTCACATATATGCTGATGTATTTCTTGCGTGGCTCCCTCCCATGGTTAACCAGCAATCATGAGAAGCTCTCCAATTCTTCCATGCTTGAGCACAATGTAAATACTACTGTTGAAGTCTTATGTCACAGAATTCCCGTTGAGTTCACAAGTCTTCTTATTTACACACGCTCACTTGCATTCTCAGAGGATCCTGACTATGACTATCTACATTCATTACTCCATGGTATTTCTGACACATCACCAACGCCAACGCCAGCTACATGCCTTTTGGATTTCGGCCAGCCTAACCCTATCATTCATACCCCTTGTCACAACCCTTTTAACGAATTAACGCAGGGGCAGAGACTAGGACTCAAACAAGATTATCACAACAAGAAAAGAGTATAATGAGCAGGGACGTCTTAGGATTGCTAGCAGTGAGCTAATACAAAAGAGGTTTGAACTAAAGAACTACTGACTACAACGAGCTACCTATATACATATATTGAAACGGAGAATGAATCTGAGTCTGAACTAACTAGCCAATCATTAAATAGAAAAGGGAATCGTACAATGATCTAAATATAACTACACCTATGATGTCATGAAACGTGTTACAGCTGTGCAAGGGTTCTCGAAGGTTCTAGAGTCACGTGACTTGATCGCTTGTGAAAGGAAGTCGAAATCGGAAATATCGGAGATAAAGGTGGTGGGCGCTAACGGAATAGAGAAGTTCGGATATGTAAAGGATGGGTTCGGGTTAGGGTTTGTGAATGTCATAGGTACAAATGCTGACTGAGCGCTAACGACAGGCGCTTGTGATGGGCGCTTAACGGGTGTCTTACGAATGTCTTTAGAGGTCTCACAAGTGTTCAGGAAAGAATAATGATTTGTGTTTGGAATTCGTGACATTACCCCCTCTCTAGGATGAGCGTCATCGCGAATGTAAGATGGTCGAATGTTCTTCTCTCTCCATTGCTTGAATTCTTCTGAGTCCAGAATGGATCCTAGAATTCGTTTGGATTTAGCAGCCGTGGGATTCTTCTTATGGAATTCCGCAATTAGAATCGGGGAGTTTTTAATGTTCTTTTCTGGCTCCCATGTCGACTCTTCTATCGGATATCCTTCCCATTTTACTCGGTACTGCACTTTTCCTCGAATTCTCGGCTATCTAGTATTTCTTCTACAACAAATTCTTCTTGTTCATTCGACAATGTCTGGAGGTGGTCGGGTGGGTTGAGAATGAGGGATCAATTGAGATGCGTAATATGGAGTAAGCAATTCCACATGAAAAACCGGGTGAATTTTATAGCTCTCTGGCAATTTCAACTTGTAGTTCACTTCACCGGTCTTCTCTAGTATTTCAAAGGGCCCAAGACGATGATCTGACAACTTTTGACTTGGACGACGTTGTTTGATGTTCTTTGCGTCTAGCCAGACCTTGTCTCCCTTTTGATACTGAGGTGCATCTTTAACTCCTCGGTCATAGAAGCGTTTCATGCGTTCATTAACCATCTTCAGAGTGTTTTCCGCATCATCTCGTGCTTCTCTCATCTGATCTGCTCTCTCATCGGCAGCGGGAATAAGGGATGTGGAGTTCGGAGATACTGTGAATTCAGGATTATATCCATAGAGGACTTTGAACGGACTGTGACCGGTTACTGTGACTGCATTGTTATGTGAAAACTCTGCTATTGGCAGCCAAGATACCCAATCGTTCTGTCTATACGAGGCAAACATGCGCAAGTATTGTTCAACTTCTTGGTTTACACATTCTGTCTGTCCGTCTGTTCTGGGGTGATAGGAGGTCGACGCAGACCATTTCGTTCCTAATCTATTCGATACTTGTCCCATAAACTTCGAGATGAACTGTGTTCCTCTATCTGAAATCACTTTCTTTGGTGTACCATGATGTTTCCATACATTTCTTAGAAATAGCTCGGCAATTCCCTTCGAGTCTACGTCTTTGGTGGTGGGAATGAAGTGCGATTGTTTTGAAAATCGATCAACGACAACGAATATACTGTCACATCCTTCACTTTTCGGCAAGTCCACTATCAGGTCGCATGAGATCGTTTGCCAAGGTCCTTCTGGGACTTCATTCGGCTGTAAAGGTCCTGTTGGTCTACTGGGGAACACTTTCGTTTGTTTGCATCGATCGCAACCATCTACGTAATCATGGACATACTTCGTCATTGAAGGCCACCAATAGTTTCTGGAAATCAATTCTAAGGTTTTGGCACGTCCAGGGTGTCCAGCCGGTGGAGAGTCGTGAAACAACTCCAATATCTCTCGGCGGATCTCTTTATCATTTGGAACGTATACCAATCCTCGGAATAACACCAATCCGTCCTCAACATTCCATTCTTCGATTCCTCTGCGCAATTGTACCGGTGCTGTTTTTAGCGTCTCTAGCGCTTTCATTACTTCGGGCTCTCGTTCTGTGCTCTTTCTTATGTATCTTCTTCATGAGCGAACTTTCTCCTTCTATGAGAATTTGGCCTTGTTTAGCAGCATTGATCTTGAAAAATTCCGGTTTCAACAAAATGCGGTCAGAATTATCGTTTTCTACCCCCCCTCTGTGGTCTTCTCTCCGAGATAGACGGTCGGCTTTGTCATTGACTACACCAGGCTTATGTTGGAGCGTAAATTCGTACTCCGCCAGGAACAAACTCCATCTGGCTTGCCTTCTTGTCAACTTCTGACTCGTCATAAAGTACTCGAGATTCTTGTGATCCGTCCAGATCTCCACATGTTGGGGTTTTCCCTGCACATAGTGCCTCCATTCTTCCAACGCTCGAATGATTGCTAATAACTCTTTGTCGTGAATGTCATAATTTCTCTCTGCATCATTCATCGACTTCGAGTAATAAGCCACTGGGTGCCATAGGCCATCTTCCATCAGTTGAGATAGAACTGCTCCTGTTGCATAATCGGAAGCATCGGTTTCTATTTTCATCTTCTTCTCAACATCTGGCATTACTAGGACGGGAGCTTCTGTAAAACGCTTCTTTAACTCATCGAAGGCGTTTTGCTGTCTCTCTGTCCAATCCCATTTGGCATCTTTTCTCAGCAAATCATTCATTGGTCTGGCAATGTCTGAGAACCCAAGTATAAATCTTCGATAGAAGTTGGCAAAACCCATGAATGCTTGTATCTCTTTTACGCATTTGGGAACAGGCCATTTCAATACTCCTTCTACCTTGACGGGGTCCATAGACACACTGCCCTTTTCCACAATCAACCCGAGGAACTCGACTTTAGACTGCTCGAAGCTACATTTCTCAGGCTTCAAGAACAGGTCGTTCTCTTTTAATCGTTTGAGTACTTCTCGCACGACTTTCTGGTGTTGCTCTCTATTTCCATTTGTAAAGACCAAGATGTCATCGATATAAACGACCACTGTTTTGCCGTCTATTAAATCTCTGAATATCTCATTCATCATGGTCTGGAAAGTTGCTGGAGAGTTCGTCAACCCAAAATACATTACGGTTGGTTCGTGGTGACCAAAAGGCGTTTTGAAAGCTGCCTTCCACTCATCTCCTTCTTTCATCCGAATATTGTTATACCCCCATCGTACATCCATCTTGGAGTACATCGTGGCACCAGTAAGGGCATCAATCAGGTCTTGAGATCTTGGTAGCGGATATGCATTTTTAACCATCTTCTCATTAAGCCTTCTATAGTCCATAACAGGTCTCAGTTTGCCATCTTTTTTGGCCACAAAGAAGAAAGGTGCTGCAACTGGAGATTGTGAATCTCTAATACGTCCTAGTGCAGTCTCGGCTTTTAACCAATCTTTCAGAGTGTCCATCTCCTTCGGTGACAAGGGATAAGGTTTCGCATTCGGAGGAAGATCATTGTCGTCTTTAAGATCCACAGCATGATCCCATTTCTTTCTTTCAGGGAATCGCTTGGACTCTTCTTCTGAGAACACTCCCAGGTAATCGTGAAGCCAGTCTGGAACCATCTCTTCAACAGACTTCTTCTTCTTCGTAGCTTCTTCTGCTACCTTCTGCTCCGTGGCGACCGAGGCTTTATATCTAATCCATCTTTCAGGACTATCTTCGTCTTCTACCTCTTCACAGGTCGCCTTCCTCGTGTTCATATCTTCATCGTCATCCTCTTCTGTGGGAATCAGATCTGGAATCACATCTGCCTGTTTTTGTGCTTTTCTGTTTTCTCTATTTTTTTGTCTTTGTTCCTTTTTCGTAATACATTTAAGCGGACACCTAGATAATGAAAACTGTCCTGCATTCCAGTCTATCTCTGGATTATGATATCTTAACCAGTCGATGCCGATAATAACATCATCGCTTCCTAAGTCTGTAACCATGAAGGCTGCTTTGTCTTCTACATGGTCACCGATCTTTAGACCTAGTTCAGCGAAATGAGTCATCGATCCAGCGGCGTTTAAAGAACCATCTATGTTCTTGACCGGAATAGGTTTTAATAATTTACGACACCGCACATCATTGTCCAACATGAATTTCCTATTGATAAATAAAGTAGATGCCCCACAGTCTACAAGGGCTCTAACGTCCGCAGTCTTCTTCTTTCCTTTCAGCGTTATTGGAATGTAGAAATGTTCTGATTTTGATCGTAGGTATATTTCTTCTACATCCGCAAAGTTTGATAAGATTGAATATCTGCTTCCAGACACGTCTTCTTCTACTGGTTCCTCTAGGATTTCTTCTTTCCTAGTAGCTACCCAATCTCTAAACCATTTTGGCGGTTGATTTCTTTCGGCCTTTTCTTTTGCCAAAAACTCTTTGCCTTGTGGTGTAGCGGCCAAATCTTTGAACCATTTGGGTGCTTCTCCTCTAACTTCTCCGTGAGTCAGGGATTCTATGAACCAACTTGGAAGGGTGTCTTCTTTCGCGGGAATGTTATGAATTCGGTTTGTTGTCTCTCTCTGTGGAGACGAAGTTCTGCAGTTTCTCGCAATATGGTTTGGCTTTCCACAACGGTAACATACAAAAGGTTCTCCGTTGAAAGCTTCTCTCATTGCATTAAACTCTTGCAAGGAATACGTTCTTCTTGTCATTGTGCCAGCTGTATTCTGGAACCCGATTCACAAATGACTGGTGGTAGACTAGTCGTAACGGTCTACCCGAAAAGGAATGATGAATGATGAGCTAGTCGTAACGGCTCATCCGAAAAGGAATAGTGATGGAAACGGAAGGTGAGAAAAGTAATACGTAAATGGAAAACTGAAGCGGTCCCCGATATCTGATCGGATCTACCTCGTACTTCAGGGTCAAAGGGTCCTGGTAAAACCCAACTGACTCTTCCCTAGATACTAACTACAAAGATGTGTACATAACAACTATACTCGCCAAGTGAGAGAAACTAGGTGCCTTTGCCAACACTTCCCAAGGGAACACACTAGAAGGACACGTCCGCTC